AATGAGTGCAAAATCCTTGATCAATTCAAACCTCTCATCATCAACCAAACCAAAAAATATATATATTGCCCCTATAATATAACATTTTTAATGCACGGTCTGAACAGATAAATGGAATTCACATATGTACTGTACTTGAAGCCGAACAACATATGGTTTCCTGGAAAGAGGAAGGGGTAAAACATAAAGTTCATTTTGATGTGAATTACTTACCTACTCAAGGAGATTTTTATCAAAACTTGTGTGTGGGGGTACAACTGATGAAGAAACTCTCTTTTGCAGGAAGGGTAATTTCCATTGAAATCAGAAACAACCAAAAAAGCGTCGTCCATAAAATATAATGGAGGACCCAGCGGGCTCCACCTTTTGATAATATAATCACTGAGGAGTGCGATGAGTGCATAATTCGAAGTGTTTTCTGGAAGGCTATCGCTGGTTCTCCCTTTTGGCATGCCTGCTACTTTTCGCTGATCATGAATATTTCAATTGTTCATCATCTAGGGATCGTTTTATTATTTCTTAAGGAAAAGTGGAGTTATTCTAATCCTAAGCTTCATCAACTGCAATTTTGGTGCGAAATTATAGATTCTATATTCAGATGATAAAGTTTTTGGGGCGGGGGGATGTCCGCTGAACATGGGAGGGGAAAATGGAAATCATACATAGCTTGTTACATAAACAAATTCATAAATTTTGCAGTCATAAATGGGTTGTTCATCTTTCTGCCCAAAAAAAAAAAACTGTTCCCCTTGCATGCCAGTTTACTGCTGTATATATAAATACAAAATATTTGGTTTGATTGATTGGATAGTAGATATATCGGTTTTGGAGGTGTTCTTGGGTGGATCCTAGTGCCAAGCTTTGAGGAAAATTGAGAAGTTCATGAAATATGACTGTAATGGAGTTAAATGATTGACAAGGTCTCGCTGGAACGTTATCTATCACCGCAGATCCATCCACGGAGGAACCGAGCAATGCTACTCAACCACTAAAGATGTGCGTGGATTATTGTGGCCGTTTTTAAGCATGATTTGCCCTCTCTTCAATTCCATGCGGGCGTTTTATTCATACTGCCTCGCAATTATGAGAAGCCCCAGATACCAACATCACACTACAGCCAAATCACAGCGACGACCTTCGGGATCAGCCCAACCAGAAAAATTTAACAACAAAAAGACGGCCAACATGGTTTAATACTTGCCGCACGGTCTCCGTTCTGAAACAGCGAATTAAGAGTTGCTTCACTTGGTAAAGCGTTCGAATCACTTTCGGTACTTAAGGTAATGAGCATCGTGATGTTTATTATTCTAGTGAAATCTAAACCATTTAGGTGCGGTTTTAATGGTCTAAATTTAAAAATTTCGACTAGTAATTTTAAATAATTTTTTTTAAAAACTTACAGTCAGGAGATTATAATTATTACCTTCGGTTCTTAATAGAAAACCTTATCTGATTTTTATTTTGATTCTAAATATAAGACTCTGATCTATTTTGTCTATCATATTTATTTATTTTTTTCCAATATATTCTTTCTAATGACAATAGTTTTAGCCAATGAACTTAATTAGTAAGGATATTTTAGAAAATATAATATTTATTTATTATAAATAACTAACTTAATTTATTTCTTTAATCTACTCAAATTAATTAACTAGCTCTTATATTTAATATTGGAGGTAGTATTTTATATTATGTACTGATTTTAAAAAATTAAAAAGGCAGAAGTATTAAATACTAAATTTGAATGGTTAAAATTTGATAAGTATCATGGTGCTTATCATTATAATAAGCACTGAGACTGGTTCCTTTATTCCTAAGGTGTCGGTTTATAATTTTTAAGGTCGTGAATTTAAATCCTATCAGTGGTTCAATACCCATCGCAGTGATAAGCACTATGATGCTCTTTGTTGTGGTGTAATCTAAACTATTTAAAATCAATTTTAATGATCTAGATTTAAAATTTTCAACTAATAATTTTTAAATTTTTAAAAATCTTACAATTAAGAGATTACATTTATTTTGAGTTATGTATATATTAAAAGAATTTTTTTAAATATTAAATCTCAGCCATATATCCATATTAAATTTGAATGGTTAATATTTGATGAGCATAATGGTATTTATCACTGTGATAATCATCGAAACTGATAGGGGAAATCACAAATAAAGACCCTCGAATTAGCAAAGTCACTCTATGGTCACCTGAATATGCTAAATTACTATGAGGAAACCGGTCTCAAATTGTAATTATGAAATCATGGCCAAATTACCAAAATACCCCTCTTTAATTTTTTTTTTTAAAAAGAAAGCCACTACCTCACCGGAATCCGGCCACCGGCGCCGGAGCTCCGGCGGCCGCTTCCGGCCACTGTCGGCGGCCGGACGCCGGGGTCCAGCCGCCGGAGCTCCGACGCCGGCGGCCACTTCCGGCGGTCTTCTTTTGTTTTTTGTTTTGAAACTGTTTTTTTTTTAAAAATTGGGGGGAAGTGAGGTTGGGGGGATTTGATCCCCCAACCTAATGCTTCCCAAAATAAGGAATGACCATTGAACCAACAAATTTTTATTAACATTATAATGCAAAAAAAAAAATAAGTTAACTCATTTACTCTTGTTCCAGGTGATAACAACAATACATTTGGAAATAACAAGTTCTGATTGTAAAATAACACGTCTGGAATAAAAATTTAACAATATGTTTTTTTATAACAATAAATTTTGTTGCAAGTAATAACAACAATACATTTAAAAATAACAAGTTCTGATTATAAAATAACAAGTTTGGGATTAAAATTCAATAACACGTTTTTTTTATAACAATACACTTTGTTTCAAGTGATAACAAAAATACATTTAAAAATAACAAGTTTTGATTATAAGATAATAAGTCTAGGATTAAAATTTAACAACACGTTTTTTTATAACAATTAATTATTTTATACTTTTAAAAAATAAATTATTTATAACTTATAAAAAATATTTTTAATATATTTATTTCTCTAAAAAAATACTTTTTAATCTGTATATCTATACAACTCATTATAAATCAAACTACTTCTTATAAATTATAAAGTATTTATAATAAGGCATTTTTGATTTATTAATCATAGTATAAATTTTATATTATTTCATTCTTTAAATATTAAAAATAGTTTTTATATTTAAAGAATAAAATAGTATTTTTAATTATAAATTAGAGATAAATTTCATTTATAAATTTAAGCAGTCAAAAAGTATTTTTAATCCACAATAAATTGTACTATTTATAATTTATAAGAAGTAGTTTGATTTATAATAAGTTGTATAGATATATAGATTAAAAATTTTTTAAAAAAAAATTAAAAAAGTGTGTTGCCATTTTTCCTAAATTTTATTTATAAATTTGAACAATAAAAAAGTATTTTTAATCTATAAAAAATTATACTTCAAGTTCTGATTATAAATTGGAGATAAAAATTATTTTTTAGCAAATTAAATAGATTACAAGTACTTTTATAAGTTATAAATAATTTATTTTCCAAAAGTATAAAATAATTAATTGTTATAAAAAAAAGGTGCTGTTGAATTTTAATTCCAGACTTGTTATTTTATAATCAGAACTTGTTATTTCCAAATGTATTGTTGTTATCACTTGAAACAAAGTGTGTTGTTATAAAAAAACATGTTGTTAAATTTTAATCCCAGACTTATCATCTTATAATCAGAACTTGTTATTTTTAAATGTATTGTTGTTATCACTTGAAATAAAGTGTGTTGTTATAAAAAAAAACGTGTTGTTAAATTTTAATCCCAAACTTGTTATTTTATAATCAGAACTTGTTATTTTTAAATGTATTGTTGTTATTGCCTGCAACAAAATTTATTGTTATAAAAAAAACATATTGTTAAATTTTTATTCCAGACGTGTTATTTTACAATCAGAACTTGTTATTTCCAAATGTATTGTTGTTATCACCTGGAACAAGAGTAAATGAGTTAACTTATATTTTTTTTTGCATCATAATGTTAATAAAAATTTGTTGGTTCAATGGTCATTCCTTATTTTGGGAAGCATTAGGTTGGGGATCAAATCCCCCCAACCTCACTTCCCCCCAATTTTTTTTAAAAAAAACAGTTTCAAAAAAAAAAAACAAAGGAAGACCGCCGGAAGCGGCCGTCGGCCGACTTCGGCGTCCTGTCGCCGACAGTGGCCGGAAGCGGCCGCCGGAGCTCCGGCGCCGGTGGCCGGATTCCGGTGAGGTAGTGGCTTTCTTTTTTAAAAAAAAAAAATTAAAGAGGGGTATTTTGGTAATTTGGCCATGATTTCATAATTACAATTTGAGACCGGGTCCCTCATAGTAATTTAGCATATTCAGGTGACCATAGAATGATTTTTCTAATTCGAGGGTCTTTATTTGTGATTTCCTCATAATTTTTTAAAAAAATTCTAAAAAAATGACTGTTAAATTTTAAAATCAGAAATTATTATAAAAATTATTGTTATTTACTTTTTGAATGTACTTATTTTTTTTAAGAACATAGTAACCAATACTGATTTAAAATTTTAAAATGTAATAATAATTTTTTTAAGAATTTTCTCTAATTTTTAACACAGTTCTTTTTTACTGCTTCAGTGTAAAAAAAAAAAAAGAAGACCATTTTGTTGCGACGATTGTTTGCTTCATTAATGACAGCTCACTGAAAGGAAAAAGACCGTTGCCATTTCAGCGCCAATTTACATACATGTTGCCCGCGCATTTCATTATCTTTGATTAACAATTAAAAATTAAAGATAATTAGTAAAGATAATTAGTCGATGGAACATTAATTTGACAGTACTCTAGAGCCTGGGGAAAAAAAAAAGACATTTCGTCCTTAAAAAAAAAAAAGGATCATTCTGTTCTGATTGATGGATTCAGGATCGTGATTGATTGCTTCGTTAATGACAGCTTCCTGAAAGGAAAAAACGACCGTTGCCATTTCACCGCCAATTTATATATATATGGTGCCCGCGCTTTTCTGTTTCTTTGGTGTGATCATCACGCAATGGCAGACTCCGGTAGGTCTGCGCAAATATTTCTTTCTGCTCCTTAAATCTCTTCTCAGTCTTTGATCGATTTCACTGCCTTGCAGAGGCCGTCCAGGTTCTGGTGTCGCTACTCGCCGATGATTCTTCCATCGTTAGAGCGGCCTCCATGGCCTCTCTCAAAGACATTGCTTCATTGTGATTATTTCTTTATCTCTGTTTATTTTGTCATCATATTTCAAGGCGCTTTGAATCTTATGGCATCGCATTTGCAGGAACCCACTCCTAGTTCTTGAGTGCTGCGCGGCGGAATCCCGAGGAGGACGTAGGGTACTTTTAAATTTTTGTTTGACATTTAGTTGGAATTGATAGCGAAAGAGAAGTTCAAGGACGGTACTGTTAATTATTTCCTTTGGTTTTGGATTTGAATGTTCCAGCGATTCGGAAACATGGCGGAAATTTTTCAAGTGATGGCATACGGAGTTCGAGCGCTCGACAGAAAAGAAGTTGATAAGTCTTTTATGGCAAAGCTATCGAAGATTGCTACCTCTGAGATTATACCCTCTAAGGTCTCTCTTTTCACTCCGGAAAATTCGGTAATTGCTGCTTGAAAAGCATGGCTTGCGATATATAACGTAGTTAACCTCTGTGTCAGATATGTACAATGATATTGTATGAATTCAAGCCAGTACACAATTGAAGGGAAAACGGCTATGCCGTTTATTTTCAAGGCCTTAATTATGCTGTTGCTATTGAACACTTTACGTTTCGAAATCTGCAATTTGGATGTCTGTAAATCTTGATGCTAACTTGAATTTTTTTGACGATGGTCCTCGCTCATAATAGTCACCTTTCACCTAGTACATGTGGTTTATGTTAACGTGTCGCGCTAGTCGTAAACACATTCAGTTTTAAGGCATGGTAGAATTTTACCACAGTACTCTTAGGTACCACATTTTCTGTCTTTATAATATGGATATAAAATGTTCATCTCATCCTCTGTATAGCCTAATAATTTCGCCTCTTGCGCATCATTTTCTTGTCATGACAGTTATCTTAGGACATCTTCATTAATGGCTTCATCGAGTTCAGAACTTTACCTTACTTGGTATAGACGACTAGCTCCTGTGCTTCTTTTGCAGGAACTCAATTCTGATTGGCTACAAGCAGCAACGAGCCTACTTGTTGCAATAGGCTCACATATACCTGACCTAGTGAGCTATTTTCTCTGATTTTATTGTATTAAAATGATTTTCAAATATTCTTTATTTTAATATGGAACGAAAAGACACGGCTAAAGGAATAGAGGAGACAGGTAGAAAGAAAAATATTGTTAGATAGAGCTCTTGAATATCTGGATATCAATCAATGAAATCCCCAGTAATCTATCTTTACCTTTTGATTTTTTTTTCTAATATTTCATTGCAGAAATTAGATCTGAACATTTTATGCCGTGCTAAAATATTATCTCCTCTATGTTAACCGAAAAGAAAAGAATTATCTCCCTCTCTTGTAGGCAATATTAGTGGCTTCTATTTGTTATTCTTCATTTTATTTCACTTCTCCTACTTTGTCCTGGATTCTAAACTGGGTTCAATCTTCTATCTTTTGCCTGCCCCTCTCTCTTGAATTGGAATTGCAGATGATGGAAGAGATTTATCTTCATCTATTAGGGCCAACTTCAGCATTACCAGCTATGGTCCAAATCCTTGCAGAATTTGCTTCTTCTGATCGTAAGTAAATTGTCTCTTGGAATTTTTTCTGCAGCTACAATTTTCAAGTCTTCCTTTTTTTTTGGGGGTTGGTTTTCAGTTCTGCACTAAGCACTGATTTTTTCTACCTTTTAAATCTGTTAACAGCAATGCAGTTCATTCCCCGTTGGAAAGGTGTTCTTTCTCAAATTCTACCAATTCTTGGAAATGTGCGAGATGCACACCGGCCAATTTTTGCGAATGGTGTGGCAAATCTTGCTGTGCTTCCTTGATAGCCAAATGATTTCAACTTTAGACGTCTAGGTGCAGGGTTGGATGTGGTATATTTGGTTACTTGTTTTGAAATGGTCGAAGTTGTAGATGGGTGTGTGATGTACAATCACTGAAATTAAAATTGGCTTTCAAATTACTTTGAGCAAGTTCCATGCCTTCGTGGGCAGAATATAATACATCATGTCACGTAGACATAAAACAGTGGAGCATTGCAATCAATTATAGACATCTCTTAAACTCCCTTCCAAAGTCAGGTCATTCATTTTTGGGGCATATTCAATTACACTGATGCTAATAATATTTTGTAGCTTCTTTCATTAAAAAAAGAAATATTGTGTTGTGGAGTTAGTTCATTTGCATGTTAGTAGTAATATTTGTTATCCTTTTCCAGCATTCAAGTGTTGGTGTCAAGCGGCTTGCCAATGGAGTATGGATTGCCCTACACATTCCTCCCTTGATGGTGATGTCATGTGAGAAAAATATATGGTCTTCTAGTTCTTTTCCTGAATTCCGATATTTTATTTCCCTTTTTTCCTGTCTAAGGAATACATGCTAGTACTGCAGGTCCTTTCTGAATTCTGCTTTTGAGCTCTTGTTGAGGGTTTGGACTGCTTCACGTGATCTAAAGGTTTGCTTGTAATTGCTGTTCTATTATTGATTTGCATTCTGTTGCTGCTATATCCTTCTTTTCTTTCTACCTCTTCCCCCTCCCCCCTCTTCTTTTCTTCTTTTTGGCCCCCAATAAAAAAATACTACTGTAAGTCACAATACTGAAATCCCATTTTTAATTCTTATATTCAGTCAATCATATGATTTCAGGAAGCTGATGTTTTCTTTCTTAATAGAAACTCCTCTACCTAATCTTCTATAATAGACTATTTTTGTATTAGTTAAAAAAGTTGCCTTCTTATCAAGCCGTATCTGTTAAGAAATACAATGTTAAGAGAGAAATGTAAAAATGGACCCTGTCGTGCCAATATATATTTGAAAGGACTAAATAAAGAAACCATCAGTTTAAGGCATGCGTGATATTAAAATAAATATGCATTGTGTGGTTACTATTTATTTCTTCTTTAAAGGTTTTAAGACCAGTACTTGATGGGTACGCTAGGAAAAGGATACAACTTTACTTTCCGAGGGGATATATTCTCTTGGAGAAGTGAAAAGCTGAATATGGCTGCATGTACTAGAGCATAGGTTGAGTTCTGAGTTATACGACTCATGGTATGTGAATTATGATGGCTAAAGATAATCTTAGAAGATTTGAAGTTTAATGTGGAAGGTTCAGTAAAGTTCTAATAAATCCACTATCAACAATGCAGATAATCTGGTACAGACATGACTGCACTCAGCATGTTGAAGTAGATCAACACTTTGATAAAAATAATTTCTAATTTGTACTCCTTTTGTTTCTTCTTATGACCAACTTGTAAATGCATTTAATCATTGAGTTATCGAATGCCATATCTTAGGAATTAATTGTCAGGCTTGGCACCCATCAACTTGTGGGGAGTGTTAGAAATAATTTAAATAATGTATTTCTTTAGGCACATGTATACAGGCTATCTGCTTTTAGTCCCTGATATACTTGTCTTCTTGAGTGGTAATGCCCATGTAATATGCTCATTTTATACAAAAAAGAGTTTCAAACATCGTGTCATGTTTGTCTAATCGCATTCATTTTGTTTCTTATTTGTCTTTTGCTTCTTTCAACTTGTTGGGATTTAGGTTCGGGTAGCATCAGTGGAAGCCTTAGGTCAGATGGTTGGTCTTATAACACGAACCCAATTGAAGGCAGCTTTACCAAGGCTCATTCCTACAATGTTGGATTTGTAAGATTTACCTACACATTGCTTCAAACTGCATATTCAATTGCCTTTTTATTTTTTGTGCAAAACATTTTCTGTATTGATTTTATGATGTTCTTATTGCATGAGTTTGTTTCAGTGCGAGACAGGAATTCCACAAATATTTGGAGTAAGACAGTATTTATAGTATAGTTTAATTTTCTTTTTTCCTATTGTCAGGTATAAGAAGAATCAAGATATCGCTTTTTTAGCCACATGTAGTATCCACAACCTCTTAAATGCATCTTTACTATCAGAAAGTGGTCCTCCTTTGCTTGATTTTGAGGTAGCATAAAATATAAAGTTCATATTAAAAAATTCCTGGCTAGTTGAGTATCTTTGTCTTAGACTCTAGTTCTCCTATGTTCTTTTTTTTTTTTCGGGTTGTATCATTGGTGCTTGCTTGCTTAGTTTCTTCAATCAAAACCTACACCTTGTTATTTTAATTTAATTAGTCATGCCGTTTAGGTTCATCTTAACTGTTATTCTGAAATTTCAATTATTCTTTTGTTCTTTGAAAAAAGGAGAGGCTCTTTTATTGAATTTCTTTTCGTTAATAAGTGAACTTGCATTTGACAAGGGGAAAAAAATATTGTGTAAGGTCACCTTGTCGTGTGAATTACTGGTCTAACCTGATATTGTTTACTTTGTCTTTCTTTTCCTCTTCACATTGTTATTACTACTTCTCACATTTATATTACTAACATGTTGATATATGCCCAAGTAATTATGTGTTGTAAATTGTTTCTAATCCAGTAGAACTAGATGTTGATCGAACATTTCATGTCATTCTACTGAGTGTTGTGGTACTTGAGCATATATTTATATACGAGTAGCTGGATATGGATTTTTAAACACTACAAATAACAGCAATGTCTTATATGTGGCTGCTGTGAATCTGGATAATACCGTGGCACACAATTGATGGATCTGACAAAAACTGAACTTGAAATTCCCAATACTCTTCTTTGTTTCTCTTTGGCTAGCCTTTCTTTACTGAATTAACTATATAATGAGGTATCGAACTGTTGTCTTGCGCTTATTGTGACCAATGCATAAATGTAGCTGGCTTAGTTTATATCTTTTCCTTATAAATAGTTGCTTTATCTACTATCTTCTAAGAATCTGAGTTTAGAAATTTTTCTCTCCATCCATTTAAGAAATTTTGTTGGCATGTAGGACCTAACAATGATTCTGTCAACCCTTCTTCACGTGGTTTGTATTAATTATAATAGCGAAGAAAAAACAGATTTCTCAGTGGGATTGAAGGTAATACTGCCCATTGCATTTGTAGTATATAGTTTCATATCATAATTTCCGTTTCTTGCACGTCATAACTGTTGGATGACTTCTTCTTCTAAATGTTTTTGCACGTCATAACTGTTGGATGGCTCTATTATTTTTGTGTTTGATGGTTATAATGCACGTCCATTTTTGTTGAGATATATCGGAGCTTGTTATTAGTGACTGAGGGTGGCAAATGGGTGAATTATGGATTAGAATTTCCCTTTAACCTGCTTAAGATAAAGTTAAAACAAATTTTAAAATAATACCATCCCTCCATGACCCATTTTGTAGATGAGTATCCATCTAGCTATTGATCCATGCAATTGGATTTTCATCTTATCCATCCAATCTACGAATTACTAAAAGACTATATTAGTATGTATAGTTTTTGCAAATAAAAAAAAAAATGATGACAGTGTGGAATCTCGAATTTATTCATTCATTAGGACATTTACTTTTATTTCCTTATTTAATCTAGGCAGCTTTGGAGTTTTATGAGAATTGCAGAGGGTTTGGTGAACCTTTTTGAGCTTATGATTTTGTTTTCTCTTTTGTACTTTTATCCTGAGTTTCAGCTCTCTCATAATGATTTTTTCCCCAAAAAAGATGTTATTTATTGTAAACTGAATGACAGATGTATAATGAGGTGCAACATTGCTTTCTGACGGTTGGCTTAGTGTATCCAGATGATTTGTCTATGTTCCTTGTAAATGTAAGTACCCGCAACTCTTCATAGTCTATCTTCTAGAAGTTATTATTTCTTTCCCAAAGTTCTTATTTGTTTGACTTCATAACGGAAGAACATTGATTAAAATGAGAGAGAAATTAAATTGCAGATAACAAACTCTCAGCCTATAATGAAGTGTTAAAATAATTTATTTATTAATGCATTCCAGTCTGAGTTTTTCCCTCAATGGAATCAAGCTCCTGCACATATCACCACACCATTGCAGAACTCTGCTAACGAAAAACTACTTAAATTACATGCAACTATCCTTTGAGGAGAGTGCATTTGGTTTGAGCTACGATTCATGGGAAGTCAAAAATAATTTACTCTTTTATGTCTACAAAGTGCTACTCACAAAAACTAATCCTAACAAATATCATGTAAAAAAGAACTTGCAACAATAAATTCATACTTCAGAAATGAAAATGAAAATGAGTGGAGTAAGGATTTGTCTTCACACTTTTATCCTTTTGATCCTTCATTCTATTAAATAATCTTCTTTTATTACCAAAAAAGAAAAAGAAAAAGAATCATGGTTCTTTAATTTTATCATAACTTCTCCTCCTCGGTTCTTCACTGCCAGAAATGCAGGTTGAGGGAAGAACCTTTGACCTTTGGTGCACTTTGTGTTTTGAAGCATCTTTTGCCAAGGTTTTCTTCTTTTCTAATTCTCATGCTAATTATTATCGATCCTCTAATAGCAGCTCACTAAAATTCCTTGTGAAGGTTGTCTGAAGCTTGGCATGTTAAAAGGCCTCTTCTAGTTGAAGCTGTAAAGTTTTTATTAGATGAGCAGAATTTAGGTGTGAAAATGGCACTTTCAGAGGTAAATCAACATGGATTAATTTTCCTATTGTTTCTTTCAATATTGTACACTTTTTGCTTTCTTCCATATATAAGATTTGCTCATTTGTTTTTAGTTAATTGTGGTCATGGCCTCACACTTTTACTTGGTTGGCACTTATGGAGAGCTGTTCGTTGAATACCTTGTACGCAATTGTGCTTTAACAAATCAAAATCAAAGTAATACTGAGAATAGTGCAAATAAGAGAGTAGAGGTACACATTTGTTCTCTCTCTTGTCATTTTCATCTATTTTTTAAGTTTTCCAGCTTTAGGTTGTCATGATTTTTATAAGAATTTTAAACAGTGTTGCTTTCGTCTTTCATGGTCAATTTTTTCAACAGTGCTTTGATTTATTTGCTTTGCTTTGTTTTTTTTCCCCGTTTAGAGAAATACTCTTTGCTTTGCAGTGTAGTTCTTCACTCATTATTTGTATAGTATGATCTTCTATAAAAGAAATTTTTTTATTTATTGAAAAAAAATCACACGTATATGTTTTATTATTCTACTGTATTTTTACATGTCATGAAATCTGTGGAAACTTGAATATAGAACCAATAATTGATAAATTAGATTGAATAATACCTAGTTAAGAAATCAACAGAATAAAAAGTTTCCCTACTGGTTTGGGACGCACTTGGAATCTCCCACAACACTTCCAAATATCTCTCTACATACCTCTTTATTTTTTCTTACAAACTTTCCTCTTGATTGAAACACTAAAGCCAAGCCCTTAAACCGACTGGCTCCGCTCACAAAATACCAGAAACTGCCCAAAAAGTGTTACATATCAATTCTCTAATTACTCCTCTCTTTTGCATCCATCTATATAAACTGTCTAAGATAGACTCTTAATTTGGGGGCTATCAGATTCCTAACCCTGTTATTCTTCTCAGATGAAAATTGGCGCTGTTACACTGGAAGAGTTAAGAGCAATTTGTGAGAAAGGTCTCCTTTTAGTGACTATCACAATTCCCGAAATGGAGGTAAATTAAATCCTTTCTTTATCCATCACATTTATGGTAGCGTTTTTCCTTCATTTCTTGGAACTTTTTAGTTCTAGTAATTCCGTATCTGTCTACTAATTTCACCTAAAAACCAATGTTGAATGCTTTTACAGAACATTCTTTGGCCTTTTCTGTTGAAGATGATCATTCCACGGGCCTACACTGGTGCAGTTGCTGTGGTAAGAGTTTGATACTCTTGCCTAGTAAACTTAGCATAGGGTAGTTCAATTAATAGGTCAGTTCAATTTGATTATCAGATGCTTAACTAATTTTTTTCATGCATAGCTTCAGGTTTGATATCTGTTTTTGGTCCAAGAAATCCTTTATATTACAAAATGTCTAGGCATTTGCATGCTTTTGTTGTGAAAGTAAAGTCCCATCCATGCAGAAGTTTTTCCTGGCATGTCATTGCTACTTTTATAGGTTTGCAGATGCATCTCAGATTTGTGGCGGCATCGATCTTATGGAAATCATATGTTGAGTCTGTGTAAAACCCGTGTTGATATACCAAATGTTGAGGTATGAGCCTTGGTTGATAGTTGTTTTTTTTTAAATCTTTTATTTTTAATATTATTATAAGATCGTTTTGTTTAGGACATCAGTCCTAATTTTATAATTTATGATGGATTTGTGTATAGGATCTTTTTGCTCGTTTGGTGGTGCTTTTGCATGATCCTTTGGCTAGGGATCAGCTGGCTACCCATATTTTGACAGTGAGAACATCTAATCCTTGAATATGGTGCACTTTTTTCTTATACTAAATTATTGTTTGGCATATAGCTATAGTCTTATTGCATGGCTTATGATTAAATCTCAGTGAAAGAGGGAGAGATAATCTGTTTTTAGTTTGCTTTAACTTAGCATGTACAGAACAGTGCTTGATTTCAGCTAGAACACAAACCTGTCTCCCTACAATTTTTCTTCATTTATATCGGGAACGCATGTTGTGCGAGAAGGATAAGGATAACATGTACGGTCTCATTCTAGGGGCCTTATTTTGTATAATCTTTTGTTTACAGGTTGTAACTTCAACTGGAAGGCAATTTTTCCCTTTGTTTTGAACAATTTTATTGATATCTTGAGATGAATTTTTCTCAGTAGAATAGTCTGAACTTTTAGCATTTATTTTCAAAGAAATCATCTCTGTTGGCAGGTTCTTTGTCATCTGGCACCTTTGTTTCCAAAAAATATCACCTTGTTTTGGCAAGATGAGGTAATTGTTTGAGCTAGAGATTCAATTTGGATTATATTAAAGTCTTATGTTCTGCGTGACACCAAAAGTTCTTTAGTAGTTGATACGGCAGCAAGATAAGGAATACTTTGGCTAAATACATAGTTTATGCTTAGTTCTATGTGAACTGAGAGTTATGGTACCGGTAAGATGAACTTATAGTTTGCGGTAAAGATTCATATAATATATTAAGCTCTATGGTAACATTTTTTTTTTTGGGGTAAGAATTTCTTAGAAGAGAAATACGAAATAGAGAGCTAGTATTCAAGACTAAAGGAAAAAGCTTTATAATCTTTAGCGTAGAAAAACTTTCTGTCTGATCGCAAATCCATAACAGACGCCCTTTGGGGAAAAAAAAAAAAACAGCTAAATTAAATTGGTATTATGGTCGAAGTCATCAACACATTATATAAGTTGATCTAAATATTGAAACTTTAAATACTAGCTGAGATCTCATGCACTTGCACGGGATTTAGGATTTTTTTTTGGGGAAAAAAAAGGTGTAAAAGGAAAGCAACTTAACAATCACATCAATAAATAGTATTATACTCAGCCATTCTACTTTTGTACAGTATATTGATTACATTTTTATTAGTTTCTATTGACAGTTTGTCAGATCCAAAACCTCTTTATTTTTTCCTAGTTTATTTCACCAGTCATTTGTAAATTTTATTAACAAATCAACCAAAGGCTTTGTAAGTTATCATTTGTCATATTCTGCTTTCTTGTGTTGCTCACAAGTTCGAAATGTTAATCCCATATCCAATTGTAATTACTTGTGTGGTTGGCAAGCTCTAGATTCCAAAGATGAAGTCATATGTCAGCGATACTGAGGACTTGAAACAGGATCCATCTTATCAAGACACTTGGGATGACATGATAATTAATGTGAGTGTGTTTAACTTCTGAAAAGTCCTGTTTTTCTCTTATTATTGCTGTAATCTTTAAAAAGATATTACAGTTTGGTAAAACTTTCTGTTAAGTGCATGAGATTCTTTAGAATGTTTTGCAATTCAGATTCTGTTTCATTAGGTCAATTTAAACAATCGATGGAGTTGCTTAAATGGTCAAATATATTTCTGAAATTGATACACTTTTTAAAGTTGGCAAATTGATAGATGACTATACATATCGTGGTTATGAAAATTTGATTATATAAAAATTCATGTTTTGGATATTATGTGGGAAGTGATGTTTAATCCCTTCTGAAATGCTAGAGATATTTACGATTTTTTTATATCTTTTCTGTTACAGTTTCTTGCTGAATCTTTGGATGTGATTCGAGATGCAGATTGGATAATGTCTCTTGGAAATGTTTTTACCAAACATTATGAGCTCTATGCACCTGACGATGAACATTCTGCACTTCTTCACCGGTATCAATTCTGTGCCCTCAAGTGTTCTTAATTAGATCTTGTTAAAGCTTGGCATACTAGATATTGCTTTCTACCTTGTTCCAGAAGTTGATTGCTGAAAAAGTTGAATGATCTATAAAATCCCAATATAAAAAGGCTGTTGCGGTTGTAATACCAAGTTAAAGGTTTGCTAAGGCATTAAGAAATGTCAATTGATTCATCACAATTAACTTGTTTGACGTCTGTACCTTTCTATATGACAGAGATTACTTGTGATTTATCCAAGACTTGGTAATTTGCTTTTCTTAATTCTTAATTATTTGAAGCTGTATTCTGTAGAAAAGACATTTGGCAATGGTTGGAATGTCACAAAGATATTGCATCTCTTCATTACACTTCTCATTCTTTCTGTTTCCCTTTCCACTTATTTAATGTTCTTTACCTTCTTCTCTAAGAGTCTCCGAGTTCATGCAAAAGCTTTAGGATAATGACGCAGAACAATTTGCTTTGAATACTATTTTGAGCCATGATTTTGATAATATGGAGTACATCCCAGATAAGACTTTGCTTGAATACGCCTCCTCACATGTATGCCATAAAAGGGTACTAAGTTGTTTTCTTGCTTGCTCTAATTAATTTCTTCCTACCAGATTAAGAGGGGGAAGTAAATTTGCAATTTGAAAGGCCTTTTACTTGAAAAAATCATTTTGAAATTGCTGCTCAACATATTCTTCTCCTTTCTGTGTGTCTTTCTGTTTTGTAACCATAAGCAATCTATTCTTGGCTAATAAATAGTCTTTTTTCAAAAAATATATTTGCGTGTTCTTTAGACCCCATTCTGGAAGCCCACAAAAGTAATGGAAGGAAAGGTTATTGTCTTGGAAATAAGTTTATTGAGAATGTAAAAAAGTCAAATTAGCCTATAAAGTTTAAACTGTGTTTGTTTAGACTGAAGGATGGAACTTTTTAAAGGAGATTGAAAGAGACGAAAGACACCCAAAGAAAGAACTGTTAGCTTTTCGTAAAGTTCATGTGGTATTCTCAATCTGAATTTAAACCTAAGGTCTTACCTAACATATTATTATCCTCCAGTTTTATTGGCTTGATCACGAACCCTTTTGCTTCCCTCTTTTACTGCTATTAGCAAAGTTATATACTACTTGCTTACATTGAAAAGGGGGTAATGAAGAAATGATAATGTTCTTTACAGTTGCTTGGGGATGCTGCTTCAGAAGACTACTGACAGAGCTTACGTCTACAATAAAATAGATTGGATGTATAAGCAAGCAAACATTGCAATTCCAACAAATAGGCTTGGCTTGGCAAAAGCAATGGGATTGGTACTTAGTAGGTTTATCTTTTTAGATGATTTTTCCATTTTTTGTTGCTTTTTATCTTATTTAGTCTCTGCTGGTTCTAGGTTGCTGCATCCCACTTGGATACGGTGTTGGAGAAGCTTAAGGATATTCTGGATAATGTTGGACAAAGTATATTCCAGAGGTTGATGCCAGTCCTGAAGGATTCAGTTTATGATATGTTTTTTCCTTACCATCTCATATCACAATTTCACACATTTCGTCATCTCTTTCTGAGTTTAGCTTTTGTAGGAGGATGCCCAATCCTCCTCATATTATCTTCCTTATCTCATAATACAAGCTTTTTTATCAAGCAATAAATTTATTCCATTAGCACATGAGTATATATGCATTTATTAAAATTTCAATTTTGATCGCTTGTAAACTGAAATAGGAGGATCATTATAAGATTCAAGATAAAATAAATCCCCTTAAATAACAGATCCAAATGAGTCATGTTTATTACGATGGAGTGTTAGAAAGATATCGGAATTAGTTAAGCTTATAGGATCGGTAATGCGTTACCATGTTTAGAGATACTAGGGAGTTAAGAAGTTCATAAGTTAGGGAATAGCTGCTTGTAGTTCACTCAAAGTAAAGTTCTTGCGTCATCCTATGTTTAGGGTGTTAGTTTGAACTGAGGTTGGGGGTTGGTGTTATGTGCATCTTAGTTGAGTCTTCTAGTTAAAATATATTTCATTTGGTTCTTCCTTTTCTTCTTCACTTTTGCATTCATTTTCTCAACAGAGAGTACGCACTTCAAGATGAAACTGTCCTGTAAGTGATAGGATATATGAATTGCGTTTGTTTTTATTCTTTATGTGGACAGCTAAGTTCTTGATTTGTGTCATAACATATCACGTCATTGACATTCTGTCATCGCTTTCTTTTCTTTAGCTTATTATTTTAAGCATTTGTTGGAACTGCTTGTATTTATCATCTGTTGCAGGATTATGTCATTCTTCTCTGATAGTTTTCGAACAGAAGAGTCTGACAATATTCACGCTGCTTTGGCTTTAATGTATGGGTATGCTGCAAAGTATGCTCCATCAACAGTTATCGAAGCCAGAATAAATGCTCTTGTTGTAGGTCATTTTATCCTTGCTTCACATTACCTGGTGTTTGATGAAGGGTTTGTCTTTTGTTGTTTGCCTGTGTGATGCTACCAAGCTACCAAGAAGTCCTCTTTTTTTTTTTTTTTTTTTTCCTGTTTTCTCATTTAATTTTCTTGTGATTTTATCCTGGACAACAACAACTAAGTGGTAATTAATCAGACCCATACTTTAGAACGGCTGCAAAATTGTTGTGATTTTCTAAATAATTCAAGCAATTGATGTTTTGACTCATCCTTATGCCGTAAAAGGCTATTGATCATTTGCATCATTACATTCACTAGTTGGATGATCACACTTTATTGTAAAAAAATGGGGCGTTTCACTTCCTTAAGTTATTTGTATTTAATTTTTTATCGAATCCATTAATGTTTACGGTTAGGTAAAGTTGATTTGCACCACATTGCTTTTTTTTCCACCTTCTTATTCTTGTAGGGGACCAACATGCTTTCACGGCTTCTTAATGTGCGACACCCCAGAGCAAGGAAGGCTGTCATCACAGCAATTGATTTACTAGGTCTGTAATTATCTCTTCAAAACAAAGTATTATTTATCACCATTGTTATTTTTTTCTTTGTGCTATTCTTATTGTTATATGTTAAGAGATATTAGAATGGGTAAATTACCCAAAGCTTGTAGTTTGGCTTCTTTGCACTTGAGTGCCTCTAGTTTGGAATTCATTTTAGTATCATACATTTTAAGTTATTACATTAGTAATTCATGATCTCATTGTATTATCTTTTGGATGAAATTCATTGGAATTTGCCTTGAGAAGTTAATTCGAGCGTGACCAATAAAGTCTTTTTTCATCTGGTTCAGATTGCTGTGTTCTTGTTGGAGAATAATCAACATTATTCGTAAATATTTTTGTAATTAATCCCAGAGCTTTCTGATGTCTATAAATAGGGATTCATCTGTGTATAAACTTAAGCTATTCCATTATTCCCCTTTATAGTGCTCCATGCCAACTTTTGTACACCCTAATTTTACTGGCGAATCTTTGGACCATATCATTTTCCTTTATAGGATGCATCCTGCTTGGAAGATCAAACCTGCTAGGCTTTTTACAGCGTTAAATTAGTGATGGAAAGTAGGTGATGTTATAAGTCGAAGACTGGATATCCTACTGTAATCAGTGATGCTCCAAGACCAAACAAAGTAAAGGAAGAAAAAAATTCAGCTTGGCAAAGCTCACCAATCTATCTTTATCTCGGTAAAAGAAGCCTCTGGAACACTTAGCAGCTAATATCTAGAGTTACAAAAGTTGTTCCAAAATTGTAGGACAAACCCAGTTTTACACCTAACATCCTAAATGAATCAAGACTTCTACTACATAAATACGTAGAAATGAATTGATAGTATCCTTAGACAGAAATATACATAAGCATTACAGTCCCATGAATTACTGTAGGGCCTGCGAACCTTTGTATGAAATTATTGTACTGCAGGAGAGAATGCTTTGTGTGGTCTGTGAACCTTTGTATGAATCCTCTGAGCTCTTTAAGTATTGAAGTCCAAAGGAACAGATTAACCTTTGAGCGAGTCTTGGACTTCCAACGCTGCTGTTATTAATTGTTCAAAAAGGAACACGATTGGACAAGAAACCTGGATAGCAGGAGTAATCCATGAGAGAGCATGTTGTCAGTCACATTGCTGAATAAAAAATGATAAGCTAGAAAAATTGACGAATAGCTGATGGATTTTTTTTTCCTTTGGTCAAATAGATTTTTTCCTCTGCTAATGACTATAAATGGAAAGAATAAAGTCCTAAGATTGCAATACAAGTTCTACCCATTAATAAGTTTTTCTTATCAATCTTGCATATGAACTCAGGTAATGCTGTCATTAAGGCCGCTGAAAGCGGTGCATCATTCCCTTTGAAACGAAGGGATCAATTGCTTGATTATATATTAACTTTAATGGGCCGAGATGACAGTGACGGATATGTTGATTACTATGAACTCTTGCGCACTCAGGTAAACTAAAAGATGTCACTTGATTATGCCTTAGTCTGAGAAGTCTGAGTGTATTGTCTCTTTGATATTATGCAGGCACTTGCTATAAGCGCTTGCACTACATTGGTCTCAGTGGAGCCAAAACTAACAGTTGAAACTAGAAACCATGTAATGAAGGTATGTATTCCATTGAATTTTCTGAAAGTATCAGTGACAGTATTTCAGCTTTCTGTGTTTTCCCGGTGAATGTGACAGGCCACATTAGGGTTCTTTGCTATACCGAATGATCCAGTAGATGTTGTTAATCATCTTATAAACAACCTGATCACTCTCTTATGTGGAATTCTTCTCAATAGGTAATTTAAGTATGAAGGTTGTACAATCCTGCTGAAGTTTCTTTTTTCTTTTTTTAATCTTGCATTTTCTTTTGGCTACTACTATATTGTTGCTTTTTTTCCCAGATTTGATCAATTATCCTTTTAGATATTGGAATTTCTGTACTAGATCTGCCTTTGTGTGACTAAAGGTTTTCTTTTAACTTTTACTAATTAATGGTAATGTAAAAATTAGTGGAGAGGACGGAAGAAGTCGGGCGGAGCTATTACTATATATCTTGAGGCAAATTGATCAATTTGTTTCTTCCTCCATCGAGTACCAGAGAAAACGAGGTTGTCTTGCAGTCCATGAGATGCTTCTCACGTTTCAGATGGTTTGTGTTAGTGGGTATCGTGCCCTGGGCTGCCATGCAATTTGCGCTCATAACAAGCAAATTGATCGGACTCTATATGGGAATTTTTTAAAGCTACCATGTAAATATGTTCCATTGCTAATTATTTATTTATATTTCTTATATGTATCTAATATTTTGTTTTCATTATTGTTCAACTGCCAGCTGCATTTGTATTGCCAAGTCGTGAAGCTATGTGTGTGGGAGATAGGGTAATAATGTATCTTCCTCGTTGTCTTGATACAAATCCTGAAGTTAGAAAGACATCTGCTCAAGTGAGTAATCGAGAAATCTTCTCTGTGGTGTAAATAAATTGCAGTCTCTGCTGAATTTTTTCTACGGCGTAAAATATTATACTTTTTTTATAAATACTTGAGTACTGCTGCTCACTTTTACAATAATTTCTGTCTCATTATTTAATATTTATATTTGTTTTTTATCGCCAGATTCTTGATCAACTCTTTAGCATTTCTCTCTCACTTCCAAAGCCTGCAGCTTCTGGTACATCTCCTGAAGATAAAGAATTGTCCTACAGTGCTTTGTCTTCTCTCGAGGATGTCATAGCCATATTGAGGAATGTAAGTTCATTGACTCCTATTTATTGCCATGCTTATACATTTTTATTTTTTTCTTCCGTATTATAATTGCTGAAGAGGAAAACTGAAATCCTGAGGCCAAAGATCTGTTTTCGGGCATGTCTATTCAGGATACTTCTATCGATCCATCAGAAGTTTTCAACCGGATTGTGTCCTCTCTCTGCATTTTGTTGACGAAGGACGAGGCAAATTTCTTCCCTCCCTATTCTTTGTTTCTTAAGACCTTCTAACTAACATGACTAACAACTTTGCTGATGATTACAAGCAGTTGTCAACTACTCTGCATGGCTGTTCTGTAGCTGTCTGTGATCAAGTCAAGCAGTCTGCTGAAGGGGCTATTCAAGCTATTATTGAGTTTGTTACAAAAAGAGTGAATGAGCTGAGTGACATTGATATCTCAAGGTTTTAGGCATAACTTTTATACTTGTATTATAGCAGGAACTGCACCTGATATTTTCTCCGTTTGATGTGAAAAAAAATTGTTGGTTACTGATGGTCCAATATGATATATGTGCTTACAGGACAACTCAATCATTAATATCTGCCTCTGTTCATGTAACTGATAAGCATCTGCGCATGGAAACTCTTGGCGCTGTATCCTTTTGTCTTTAAATTTTATAATTTGATGCCTTTGAGTTGAAGTTATTGTTGACTGTCTTTTGTCATTACTCATTATTAACTTGGTCGAACCAACACTGTAGAATTTATTATGCAAAAAATCAATATTCCTATACTGGCTGAAATAGATTTCTTCTTTGGCTGAAAAAGCTAGTGCAAAGATTGTTTTTCATGAAGTCCTGGCTACTGCTGGAAGGGACATAATGACAAAGGATATATCTAGGTTGCGTGGAGGCTGGCCAATGCAAGATGCATTCCACGTGAGTCTGTATTCAATTTCAATACCACTTTTTCCGTTCTTCCATTGATTAGACCACTTGTACAATATCTAGTTTGCACTGCTCATAAGTAGTCCTATAAATGGTGGTAAACAAGTAATCCTGGAAATTTTTGACTGTGCGTGGGAGGACTGCATTTCCCCCAAAAGATGTCCAATGTGCCCTTAAATTGAATTTCATGGTGTTTTTTCACATCCACTTTAATTGTTACTTGGATATGATTTTTGGATTCTTTTTGCATTTAAAAAAGTCCTGATAACTGATGGCCAAAAAAAAAAAAATCCTGATAACTAAGTTGTCTCTTCCAGGTGTTTTCTCAGCACATAGTGCTATCAATTTTGTTCTTAGAACATGTGATATCTGTCCTTAGCCAGACCCCTATCCTGAAAGGTGATGTAGATAGAGCTGAGGATAGCCGTGTTTTTGACAATCAGACAGAGGATGGAATGCTGCAAGCTGCAATTTTTGCCCTTACGGCATTCTTCAGGTCCATATATCAGCTATACTAATCGAATGGAGGTTTTGTAATATGCTTCGGCATTTTTAGTAGCCTACCTATCATATTGATGCAGAGGTGGGGGGAAAGTTGGAAAAAGGGCCGTTGAACTACATTATTCTTCTGTTCTTTCTGAGCTTACACTGCAACTTGGAAGCTGTCATGCTCTAGCTAACTCTGGTCTACATGAACCATTGCGGTAAGGGTTTGGTATGCAGTTATGTTGTGAATTTTCATGCCTGTACATCCTCTGTATAATGGCTTTTAGAATGCAATCTATTGGTTACATGCTGGGAGTGGTTTCATGGTATAGTGGCTTGTTTTGGGCATTTTCAGGGGTAAATATAACTATGCTTCTAAGTAGCCATTGAGAAATTTGGTTTTGGCTATAAGTTACCTTTCCCTTAGCATTGTGGAAGTAAGAATGTAGCGTCTTGAAGAGTAGCATGGTTCATAGTAGTGTACAAACATTTGTGGTGGGAGAGTAGCATTTATACCGTTTTGGGAAGGTTACCAATGAGTAATATTGTTTTTGAGTGCATCAATAACTCTTAAGCTAGAGCCGCATTGGTAATTGAAAAAAAAAAATGCATGAACGAAATTTTATACAATCACAGACAAATATAGAGATTGGCATTCTTTAATTTTATTTATAATTCCTCTTTTATCTCCCTTGTGCAGGGATCTTTTAACTGCATTTCAAGCATTCTGTGAATGTGTTGGTGACCTTGAGATGGGAAAGGTAGACAAACATATAAATATTGCTCCATTTTAGGAATGTAGATATTGTCTTGAGAGCAAATGAATATTAAAATATATTTATTCAGATTTTGGCCAGAGATGGACAACTTTCTGAAAATGAAAGGTGGATTAGTCTAATTGGAGAAATAGCAGGCTGCATATCTATAAAGAGACCCAAAGAGGTAACATTATTTCAAGTATATTTGTATACCAAAGTGCATACATATTTATATGCTAAAAATGCTGAAAGATATCGCAATGGCTGCTTAAAACAGTGGAATTATATATTTTGACTTTGCCTCAATCCTTTCCACAAAAAAGGATCATCATTTCTTGATTTAGAGTGTCATTTCACAAATTTCATGACAACCTTGAAGTTTGATTTCTTCTGTTGACGGTACTTGACGCTCACAGACACAAACAAATTTAGAAGGTTTTTTGGTCTTCTCATCTTTTAGTTGGGCACTTGACATGGTATGAGAGTACTTGATCTAGCTTTTTGGAATTCAACTTTTGTTGCCTCTGTTTCCATATTTAAAATAAAAAATGGTAACAAGGTAGTGGTGGACGTGCTTGAAATAATTGCTGATTATATTAAGGCATGAAGGGCATCCATGAAGAAGAACCGGTGAATGGATTCCTGTGTTTTGCTGAAAGTTTTTCACTTCGTTAATTTGTTGAAGCAGTGATCACTGTTAGTTCTGAAAATCCCATTGTAGACTTCTTGGCATTTTCCCATTTATTCATTCTTATAATTTCTTAATGAATTCAATTGTTTACTATTTTCTTCACATGTGAATTTTGATAAATTCTCTGGTCTGGTTGAAACCTTAGGTACAAAGTATTTGTAATTCTCTGACAAAATCAGTAGATAGAACCCATAAATACCAGCGGGAAGCTGCTGCTGCAGCACTGTCAGAGTTTGTCCGCTACAGGTGTGTATAAAATGTTAGTCGATCTGCCAAGAATATGTTTCAGAAGAAAATTGGATGTGGTTATCATCTACAGCATTGCAGGGAAGTATTTGTTTCGTATAATGGGTAGGAAAGGTCATATTTTTATATCTGAGTTGTTGAAAAGGGTGAGTGTAATTGACAAGGGTAAGCTGGGAAAGATACATCATGTTAATTAGTCAACTTGAAGCATCACAAGGAACCATATAGAAGGTAAAGAAATGGCAAGCATCTGAGTAGCTTTGCTAATCTCAATTATGCTCTCTTTCTTTTACCCCAGTCTTTGTCAATTTAAGGACCTTTACTGATTAATCTTGCCCTTCCTTGCCTGAGCTCTTCGCACACGTACTTTCATTGGTAAACTTGAGGTTGTCATTGCCAAGACATTTAAATTCAGTTAGGTGGAGCTAGAGACTGACCTAGGGTGTGCATGCATTTAATTTCCCATACACTCTTTGTTAATTTAAAGCTGACGCTGAGATATATAGAGTGATATCTGTATAACTATTGATCATGCCTACGCATATAGCAAATTTTAAACATTTATTAGTTGACTAAACATATCATTGACTACGTATAAAAGAGCTATTTTAATTGTTGGATAATAATACATCTATGTGTCTTAATTGATGCTATTTTGCACTTCTATTAGTAGTCTTTGTAAATTTTGCCTTTTTACCATCTCTTAGTTGTAGTTAATGACCAGCCTTTTCAGAGTCTCTTAATTGTAGTTAATGACCGGTGTTTTTCTCTCCCTGTTTTATTTCCTGAATGGCTTGCTTTCAGAGAATTGAAGTTCTTATTGCTTCCTGTTGTCAATGGTACAGTGGGGGACACGGTTCACTACTGGAGCAAATGGTTGAGGTTTTATGTCGTCATGTATCGGATGACTCTTCAAATGTTCGACGCCTATGTTTGAGAGGGCTTGTACAGGTACTTTTTTTCTCTACTAATCTGATAGAGCCCTCAATCTCATAAGCTTATGGCAAGCAAAATCGAGAAATGGCAACAGACATGTGGGACTGGTAACACTTCTACTTAATAATAAATGGGATTACAAGGGAAATAATGATTCAAACCAATCCGATCTCCCTCATTCACCCATAGACAGACATTTTAATCAAATAATAGTTACAGAGTACAAGGAACAACATAATATACACAACACAGAACATAAGCCACTGGACTTTTGAGAGGCCAGTACTCTCCCAACCTCACTTCACTAGCCAAAAGACTGAACACCCCCCCTTCTCTGCCTGAAGTGGAGGATTTAAAACAGAAAAATGTCACAACGCACACTGCCTACTCTCTGGCTGCACCTAAAACCTACTTATTCTTCCTTCTTTACCCTTTTGCTCAGGACCCTCAGTGTGATCCTCTTGACTGCTGGTATTTCCTTTTTCACATCATTTCACTCCCTTAATCTTCTGCTATAGGTCCAGAGAATTGATTTATAAATTCTCCAGCTCTATCATAATCTTCAAATTGATCGAATTATCTAAACAATTTATTGGTTGTTCATGATCTGCTTTTTTTTCCCCCCCTATGGTTAAATTTATGAGCAGTTGTTTGATCACTAACTATTGATATGAGGAGCTCTGACTAATCCACATTTTTTTCTTACCATAAAAAATCTTGCAAGCTCAATGCTATTTGGCCATTTTTTACTCATATCTCTAACACACCCTTTCATAAGAAAGCGTTTAAGCTTGAACCATGCTCATCAGATCAAGCATCCATGCCATGTCAAAAAAATCTACAATCCTAAGCCGCAAAGTGAAAGTCTATAAATTGTTTATATGAGTTCATCTAATTCAAACGAAGTACTAAACATTGAAACATTATCTGATTAAACTAGCATACATCAAAAGCAGCCTCAAAAGCAATTTTGTTATTCAAAAGCTTATCTATTTTACTGTAATAATTTTGCTTGAAAATTGTTGTTTATATCATTTGGGCATATGATTTGTAAATCTTGGTGTCATAAAGGTGATAAGTCTATTTTGGAACTTGGGCTCTTGATTCTGCAGGGAAATGCGTATATTTATCTTGCTCCCTCTTTTTGAAGAATTGACTTCTCAAAATATTGAAAATGCAGATTCCATCCATTCATATTCTGAAGTATACAGCTCAAGTGTTGGGTGTCATATTAGCTTTGCTGGATGATTGTGATGAATCTGTGCAGTTAACTGCAGTATCATGCTTATTGATGGTTAGATCTCTTTCATCGGGTGTGCTTGGGTTCTATTATTCACTCTAAATTGATTTCTTTATCATTTGCTGTTGGCTTATTCTAGATCCTTGAGTCTTCATCTGCTGATGCTGTTGCGCCCATTTTGCTTAATCTTTCAGTGCGGCTTCGGAATCTTCAAGTGCGTCATCTTACTCTTTGTTGTGTCCCTCCTCCCCCTCCTCTTCTTTTCAATTTTAAACTCTTTGGAATGATTTAGGTAACATGTCTCTCATGAACATTTGAATGAATGTTCTTAGCAATTCTAAGTTTGGCATGAAGCAGACTAGATTGATCTATTTTGAAACACTATATTATTTATTTTGTGTGACCTCTTAGTTTGACAATAACTAAATTGCATCAGGTTATCTTCTTTAGGGAAAAAGGGGTTACAATTGAAACTCAAACTTCTTGAGATATGCTGTATGGATTAGAATTGAAAATTAGACGTAGAGACTAAAATGGGCATTTGGTTAATGAAGAATAGTTAGATTGTCTTTTGTCATTTGTCATTTTTATAATTAGCTGAAGACAGCTTTTCTTTTGGTCTTTCGTCAGAAGAGTTTACTCAAAAGATCACTTGGAAATTGAGATGCGACTGCAGTAAATTTCCAAGTCCTTCGATAAATCATTGCCAAAAACATGAAAAATAAGTAGGAACTTCATGGATTTCGTGTTCTTACTCTTTTTTTTGTTTTTGTTTTTTCGGACTGATTACTCATTTTCATTGTGACGTTAATTCAAAGTAAGAGAGTACATCTGCAGACAATTTCCTGAGATGGTTAACATTTCAGGTTTTGATATACTGCTTTATAAGTTAGAAGCCTAGTGACCTCTCTCCTCTGTATCTAGTCAATAGTATCATTTTCTCTATCCAACGCTATTGAAATTAATGCTTTCATTTGTATTTCTTATTCTTGTTTGGAATATACTTGCCACTTCTATATAATTTCAACTAATTTAAGTAGGAAATCCTTAAAACAGACAAGCATGAACGCAAAGATGCGAGCCAGTTCCTTTGCAGCATTTGGTGTGCTAAGCAAGTATGGAACTGAAGCACTAAATGAGGCATTTGTTGAGCAGGTATATTTCTTAACTCTCATGTGAGATTATTGGGTATTACCCAAATGAATTGATTTTATTAATTTACCAATAAAGGCCCCTTTATAATTGTCAAAAAATGGACACTTGTAGAATGAAATGGCAAAATGAATTTATCTTTCTGGAAATTACAAGCTTGTTTCATGGAGACAAGGCATCGATGTGATTTTGATATTAAGAAAGTATGGAGAAGTTACCCTTAAAACTATCTAGTAAAATAAAAGAACTCTCAAGTGGAGAATTACTTGTGGCCTGTGACCATATGGGACTTTATCATAGCACCTCCCATGAAGAGCCAACATCCTTGATGATTGAGTTCTGGGCAGCAAGTTCTAGATATCAGGTTTCACCTTCTCTGCAGGTTGATCAAGTGGTATGTTCAGGGTAGCTTTTTTCATGGAGGTGATGGAGACCCAAGTAAGCTATGAAGTCATCCTTGAATCTAGTCCTCTGAAGTAGCACACGAATTATGCTCTCAATATGTGACTCCAACACTATGAAGACCGATGCAAACATGGGGACCTACCCTTAAAATTGGATTGTATGTGGGAAAAAACTGTCTCTAGTACACATGAATTGCTTATAACTCCTTGATGTGGGACGCCTTTGATTGCCAACATCCTTGATGATTGGATTCTACTATGCTCACTGTTGCTTCATGATCTAGAGTACTCACTTTGGCCAGGGGCTTAGGATTATCAAGTCTACTCTTTGCAAGAAGTCCTTTCCATGGCACCTTTGTTAGCCTGGGATACCCATGGATAAAAGAATCACCTCTCTTAAGTATCAGTGAATTACCGGTGTCTGTCTGCTGTTATATTCTTCACATCCATCAGACTTGTACATTTTGTCATAGTACTTTGTTTTTATTTGGATATGATGGATCCCAGGGCCTAAAATGACGACAATGGATGTGTATTATATTGTATATGAACGAAATTACTGAGAAGCCTCTGATCAGTGTAAGAATGAAGGCTTTAGCTCAGGAAAACACAGCAAATAGGAAATCAGATTGACAGACAAAGAAAAACTAAAAGGAAAACAGGAAGAGAACACTCTCCACCTCACACACTAGCATTTGAGAGGATAGCACTTTCCATTGTCAATTCTCCATGCCTTCTCCTATCATCTTCCTTGCTAGAGTTCGTTATAATTTTCCTCACCATCTCTCTCTCCAGCTTAACCCCTTCGTTTGGCATTTTCTTTCTTTGGTAAGTTTTAGTAGGATGGCCATTTCAGTCCCATCAGCTCACTATATTTGAAACATGATTGGTGTCACCTGCTTTGTTTTCTTTTTGTTTTTTGTTTTGGGCAATGCTCACTATGAGTAATTTAGAGACATCTTTCAACTCTGATTCATGAGCCAGTAGTCGAATCTTATTAGACTTCTCTGATACTAGGCTAGATTTTCAGTAGTTGCAAAAATATGTTTTGAAAATCTAGACCTGAATGTGCAAGTGGACCAGCCAGCAATGGCCTTCAATTTGACTCTCGTTTTCTCATTTGAGTTTGGAAAAATTGCAAATATTCTCCATGGAATTTTCAACTAAGTTTGTTGTAGAGCGTTCCCAGGTAACATGTCTTATTCTTTTGTGCATCTTATAGTTTTGGCATTGCCAAACTGAGTTGATCATTGTCCTATATATTTTTTTCATTATGTCAGCAGGCTCATTTCATGCTGATGATTTTTTCTAAAAAGGTACATGCTGTTGTTCCTCGCTTGATTCTGCATCTTCATGATGAAGATGTTAGTGTGCGACAGGCCTGTCGGGTAATCAGCTGCTATTTTGGATTTTCTTGAATTGGAGATTTCTGAGTAAACTATCAAGTTTTAACGTTTCGCTGATTCATCGTTTAATTCACTGACTGATAGAATACCCTAAGACGGGTGTGCCCATTGATGGAGATTGAAGGATTGCTTGCCCTTCTAAATACACATTGTTTCCTTTCTGATCACCGGTATGATTTGAATGATTTGAGCTTTGTTATGTGAAAGTTTATTGAAGTTTCACCCAACTTAATTGTGTGATTTTAGAAGTGAGTATGAGGACTTCCTTAGAGACATTGCGAAACAATTTACTCAGCATCTTCCTTCAAGACTTGACACATATATGGCATCAACAATACAGGTTCTTTACTCTATAATTCAACGATCTGTCATGGACAATTCCTTGTCTTCCTAATTTATCATTTATCAGTATCCCTACTTTAAAATTGAAACACTGGGGAATCCAATAGGTTCCATTTAATTATAATGATCTATCAAGTTGTCAACTGTGACTGCCGCTATAGCTGGATTTATCTTTCATCATTTCTTTCAAAGCCATTAGCAGACTTTAATTCAGTGGTCAGCATATAATTCTACCACATATTCAAATCTAAGTAAAGGAGCCGTTTGCTTTCTTGATGATGATGCAGGCTTTCGATGCCTCATGGCCAATAATTCAGGCAAATGCTATATACTTGTGCAGCAGCATTCTTTCTTTATCCGACAATGAGCATATTCTATTTCTCTACCATACAAAGGTCTTTTTCTTAAAATGCGCGTGCACTTGTCAGGGTCCTCACCCAAGACTGAAATTTAATAGGATTTGTATCTTCATGTAGGTGTTTGGGACGATGGTGAGCAAAATGAGTCGGTCACCAGATGCAATTGTTAGAGCAACATGTTCTGCTGCCTTGGGCTTGTTACTAAAATCCTCCAATTCAAATTTATGGAAAGCGGCTCGTCTTGAACGTAGGGACTCGTTACGGGGTAACCATGATCCGGAGTCTCCCAAGAATTCTCAAGATGAAATGCTACTGGGAGTACGAGATTGAGCGGATTGGTCTGCTTATTTCCCCCTTTGGGCTAATGCTTTTGCTCTCTACTTGACTGGTTTCATAAGTTATCTTCTGTCTGGTTTACCCTTCTTTCCTATTCTCTCGTTGTATAGTATGTATCATGATTGGAGTGAAGCACTTGCTATCAAATAATATCTCTAATCCTTAATATAAGACCTTATTTGATTTTTATTTTGGTTCTAAATATAAGACCCCAGTCTATTTTATTTCTCATATCTAAGTTTTTTTCCCAATAAAGTCTTTCTCATAATGATAGTTCTAGTCAATACACTTCATTAGTAAGGATATTTTAGGAAAGACAACACATATTCATTACAAAAAAAAATTAATTTAACTTATTTTCGTAATCTCCTCAAATTAATCTATTAGCTCTTATAATTAACACCGGAGGGAGTAATTGGTTAAATGATTTCACTTCGTTGGTGTTCCAAGCTCAACATAAGATAAGCAGTAGCTTCTTTTTCCTCGCTGCTTGGCTGCCTTAATATTTACACTTTCTTAAGTTTACAAGCAAAAGAAAATATAGATGCCTGTAGACTTGTAAGCATAAAAGTTCTAAATATCTTGCGTTAAAGTAGAAACCCAAAGGTCTATGGAGCTGTTCAATGATTCGTTGAAAAGAAGACTCCATTGGACCTAGTTGGAATTATTTATTCGATAAATGAGATTGCTATGGAGATACTGTATATGATTAATAAATTAATTTTTTGTTTTAGGAGCAGATAGAATAGAACACAAATAACTGGGAATAGCTACAATTTCCTCTGTTTGTGGCTTTGTGCGGTCCAAGTTCCTTAAACATCGTTCTTTCTTTAAGATAGGAGGGCAGAAAATGCAAAATCAACTTTTCGAGTTATATGATTGATTATGAACAAAGAAGAGAACCGAAATATAACGACACGTACAACTCAACTTGTCGGCATCAGAGAACGAATTTTGCGAAGCACGCGGAGGAGTAAAGGTTGTCCACGGAATTCTTGTTTCGTCATTAATCCAATGCCCTTACGTATGCTCTTACGTCACCTAAACGCAGTTGAAATGTGATAGACTTCTTTTCAGCATATAAAAGAGAGGATAAGCCAGCGCGCTTTCTTCAACAAGTTGAAACCCAAAAAAAAAGGCTCATTTGCCTCTAGTTGGTTGCCATGGTTTCCCAATCTCGTCATCCTCACTTTATCTTGTTTCCCCTGCCGGCTCAAGGCCACCTTATCCCTATGATTGACATTGCAAGGTTATTAGCACAACGTGGTGTGATAGTCACTATATTCACCACGCCAAAAAATGCTTCTCGTTTTGATTCAGTTCTTTCTCGTGCTGTTCAATCTGACCTTGCAATTCGGTTAATACAACTCCAACTTCCATCAAAAGAAGCCGGACTCCCTGAAGGATGTGAGAATTTTGACATGGCATCACCGGACAGGTTCCATAATCTTTTTGATGCAATCAACATGCTTGAAAACCAAGCAGAAAATATATTTCAAGAATTGAAACCTGAGCCAAGCTGCATTATATCTGACATGTATATTCCTTGGACAATTCAAATTGCTCAAAAACATCACATTCCAAGGATTGTTTTCCATGGGTTCTCCAGCTTCTGTCTCCATTGCTTGCATAAGATTCACACATCCAAGGTTCTTGAGAGCGTAATATCAGAATCAGAAATCTTCACCGTGCCTGACATACCTCACCATATTGAGGTAAACAAAGTTCAGATACCAGGATCGATGATAAATGAGAGGATAAAAGAGTATCATGAACAAATGCTTGATGCTGAGAGAAAGTCATATGGTGTGATATTAAACACTTTTGAAGAGTTGGAAGGAGAATATGCCAAGGATTACAGAAAAGAAAGAAATGATAAGGCATGGTCTATCGGTCCTGTTTCACTAAGTAACAAAGATGATTTGGACAAGGCTCAAAGAGGCAACAAGGCCTCCATCAATGAAAAGCAGTGCTTGAAGTGGCTTGATTCCCAACAACCTCAGTCTGTGGTGTATGCCTGTTTTGGAAGCTTATGCAACCTCATTCCTTCACAACTAGCAGAGCTTGCCCTGGCTTTAGAAGCTTCAAAGAAACCATTCATTTGGGTCATTAGAGGAGGATATAAGTCAGAAGAGTTGGGAAATTGGATCAAGGAAGTTGGATTTGAGGAACGGATCAGGGGAAGAGGCCTTTTAATCAGAGGCTGGGCTCCACAAGTGCTGATATTGTCACACCCTGCAATTGGAGGATTCATAACACATTGTGGCTGGAATTCGACATTGGAAGGGATAAGTGCTGGCGTGCCAATGGTGACTTGGCCATTATTTGGAGATCAATTTCTAAATGAGAAGTTGGTTGGTCAAGTGCTGAAGATTGGGGTGAGCACTGGGGCAAAGGTTGCAATGAAGTGGGGAGAGGAAGAGAAGATTGGTGTGATGGTGAAGAAGGAAGATATTGAGAAGGCAATATGCATGGTGATGGACGAAGGAGAAGAGAGTGGGGAAAGAAGGAAAAGGGCTAGAGAACTGAGCGAGATGGCTAAGAGAGCTGTTGAAAATGGCGGATCTTCCCATCGTAACATAAGTCTGCTGATTGAAGACATCCTACAACAGGCATCTAACAAGAAAAAACTCGACACTTGAAGATCAGATCGTTTCTCCTTCAATTTGCCATTAAACTCTTGTTCCATCTCTGTTTTAATGTTTGTTTAGTTTGCAAGTAGCGATCATGAAGATAATAGAGGTGTGGAGTGATATTGGAAGGCGACAGAGACAATTCATGAATAGTGTCATTAATACTACCAACGTTGTAATTAGATTTGAACTTGCCAACTCTTTGGTCCATTAAATTCACATGCAGTGAGAATCTTTTTCGTACTTGCCATTTACCCATGAATGAAGAAGCATCATAGTACTCTGGTCCAAAAGTGAGATGAATTATGAGCCCAACATGTGATGCAGATTCCTTAGGTACAGTGCAACTCACAAGCTTGACTCTTTCATTCTTTAGCATGACTTGTACCGTATCAAATATCATTGTCGTTTCCCTTCTTGCATGAGATATAATAAGCAAACTTAACCTCAGCTTTTTGGTTGAGGATTGGCCAAGGGTCATTTTCTGACCTGTTAAAAAAAAAAAAAAAACCAAGAGCAGAATATTCGCTTGCATATTCATTTTGAGTATTCTATCATATCTCTTTCTTTGTTAGAAGGATGACGCTCCTCCTCTTCCTCGGTCTGATTTTTTTCCCCATACAAATCCTTGGGTGAGATGAAACTTGCATTTTTCAGGATTTTTAAAATTGAATCTATTTTGCTAACATTTTACAATTAAAAATAAATGTCAAATAGCATTACAAATTTAAGTAATTGGAGGATTATTTTGTAGTATTTCGATTGAATTTGGATCAAAAATAGACTGAGTGTTTCCTATCTCATTCAAAATGAAATGTGAGAATCCAAGTATAAATCACTTGCAAGCTATTTTCCCCACTTTTTGTCTCTTTTCCTTATGTCAGGATTTGCATTTGGTGCTTATTAGATCCGGTCCAGATCCGATCTGGACGATCCAGATTTAATTTAATTTTTATTTTTTTAAAATAATTATTTTAATAGGTATAAAATAAAAAATAAAGATAATCTTTTAATTCTGATTTTTTTTAAAAAATAATTTTTTATTTTAAAAATATTAAATCTAGATATTTCAGATTGCTTATCACTGCTCATCGCCCATCACTTGATTAGCACGCGGACTCATTTCAGGAACTGTGCTCATGGATTCCCCGCTACGTGGCTCTGTCATGGAAACCAATCGCTCTCTTTTGCGGACCGCGGCGCTTATCGTTCCAAACGCAATTTATCCCCCAGAGGTCACATTTAGCACTTTCTCGTCAAATCAGTCATCAAGTTTCAAACGCAATTTATCATCGACAGTTCAAAGTTTCAACCAATGAGATCGTTGAAGTGTTGTACCACTCTCAATGAAAATAATTATTTAAATGATTAGAAAACGTGGGACTTCCAAGCTCATTATAAGATAAGCAGAAACTTCATTCCATTTTCTCACTGTCTAGGAAATAATAGATATTTAAACTTAATTATCAAATTAAGTATAGGAGAAGGTGAAAATGGAGAGAAGACTGTAGATTAATAAAATTTTAAGTTTATAACTATTGCTAAAACACATAAAAAAAATAAAAATTTAAATGTTCGTGAGCCGATATAATGCAGAGCAACAAATGAGAATGGCTACGAATTCTCCACGTTTGTTTGGAGCAAGTTACTTGTCCGATGGATATTGTCCTTCCTTTCTGCAAGATAACAGTATCCATAGACAAGGCAAATTTAAATTTCCCAAGTCACATACGAAGAACTGAAATATCACGTCATTTCAAATCATTTTGTCTGCATCCTGGGACGAGTTCGGTGGAGCACACAACCAAAACAAGTTGAGATTGTGGACAAAATTCTAGCATCTAGTTTCATCCATACGCTTCAATCAAGTATCACCCTCATACATACAATCCAATGCTCTTATGTACGCTCTTACATCACCACCACCACTTTAATGGTTCATGAAATTTCATAAACTATAATGGGTTCTGTATATAAAAGAGAGAATAAGCTAAGTAGAAACCAAAAAACAAAGCCCATTTGCCTCCGTCGTCAGTAGCTAGCAGCCATGGGTTCGCAAGCTTACCATCCCCACTTCATCCTGTTTCCCATGATGGCTCAAGGCCACATTATCCCTATGATTGATATTGCAAGGTTATTAGCACAACGTGGTGTGATAGTCACTATATTCACTACACCAAAAAACGCTTCCCGTTTTGATTCAGTTCTTTTTCGTGCTCTTCGCTCTCGTCTTCCAATTCGAATAGTACGGCTCCAGTTTCCATTCAAGGAAGCCGGACTACCTGAAGGGTGTGAGAATTTGGACATGATATCTTCTCTAGATGAAGACATGATCTTCAATTTCTTTGATGCAATCAAAATGCTTCGGAATCAAGCAGAAAAGCTCTTTGAAGAACTGACGCCTCAGCCAAGTTGCATTATCTCGGACATGTGTATTCCTTGGACAATTCAGATTGCTCAAAAACATGGCATTCCAAGAATTGCTTTCCATGGATTCTCTTGCTTCTGCCTCCATTGCTTGCACAAGATCCATACGTCCAATGTTCTTGAGAGCATAACATCAGAAACGGAAGTCTTCACCGTGCCTGGCATACCTCACCATATTGAGGTGAACAAAACTCAAATACCAGTACTAATGGAGGATGATAGAATAAAGGAGTTTAGTGAACATATGATTGATGCTGAGACAAGGTCTTATGGTGTAGTCATAAACACTTTTGAAGAACTGGAGGGAGAATATGTCAGGGATTACAAGAAGGAAAGAAAAGATAAGGTGTGGTGTCTTGGGCCAGTCTCATTATGTAACAAAGACGAGTTGGATAAGGCACAGAGAGGCAACAAAGCCTCCATCAATGAAAAGCTGTGCCTGAAGTGGCTTGATTCCCAGCAACCTCGGTCTGTGGTGTATGTCTGTCTTGGAAGCTTATGCAACCTCATTCCTTCACAGCTAGAAGAGCTTGCCTTGGCCCTGGAAGATTCAAAAAAACCATTTATTTGGGCCATTAGAGGAGGAGACAAGTTACAAGAGCTGGAAAGTTGGATCAAGGAAGATGGATTTGAGGAAAGGATCGAAGGAAGAGGCCTTTTAATCAGAGGCTGGGCTCCACAAGTGCTGGTATTATCACACCCTGCAGTAGGAGGATTCATAACACATTGTGGTTGGAATTCAACGCTTGAATGTATAAGTGCAGGCGTGCCTATGGTGACTTGGCCATTATTTGCAGACCAATTTCTAAATGAAAAGCTGGCTTGTCAAGTGCTGAAGGTTGGGGTGAGCGTTGGGGTGGAGGTTCCAATGAAGTGGGGAGAGGAAGAGAAGATCGGTGTGGTGGTGAAGAAGGAAGATATTAAGAAGGCGATATGCATGGTGATGGATGAAGGAGAAGAAAGTGAAGAAAGAAGGAAAAAAGCTAAAGAATTGAGTGAGATGGCAAAGAAAGCAGTTGAAAATGGCGGATCTTCTCATCGTAACATAAGCCTGCTGATAGAAGACATCATGCAACAGGCATGTAAGGAGAATAAGCTAGCTTGACATTTGAACATGTTATTGCTTTCTTCTTTCTTTTACTGTATGTTTGTCTAATTAATTCCAACGACGTGATTATGAAAAGAACAGAGGAGTAGAATGAAATGAATTTGGTGGGAATGAGACACACAGTCATACAAGCACAACTCGTGAACAATCCTTAATGTCTAACATCAACGTTCCAAATTCTGATTGAAACCTGTCCACTTTTTGGTCCATTAATTAATAATTAAGTCAGTTCGCACGTGGTGGGACGTGAGAGCCCTTTCTTCAGTTGCCACTAGCCAATGAAGAAGAGAGTGCAAGATGCTCGGGGCTCATGTGGATGCTAGGGGTGGAAACAGGCCAGGCCAGGCCAGGCTTTACGCCTAACAGGCCAGGCCTGTATTGAAGCCTGTTGGCCTGAGCCTAGCCTGTGGCCTGTGACAGGCCTTATATTCAGCCTGAGCCTGGCCTGTGTAAAAGCCTGGCCTGGCCTGAAGCCTGTTAAAAGCCTGCATTTTTAAAAAATATTTTAAACATATTTAAATCAACTCAACATTATAATAACTCAATCCAAATTATATAAAATACAAACATAAAATTATCTAAAATATTTAAGTGAAAAATATTTAATATTCAAATGGTAGTATATTATTTTGTTGTTCATGTTTCAAATTATATTACTTAAGTGAAAAATATTTAATAACTTGAGGAGAAGATGTAGTTAAAATGGTCACAATACAAGGGATAAACAGAAATCAAATTCATAGAGGGGTTATTTCATTGTCAACTGTTGATGATGTGCGTTAGAAAAACTAAGTAGTTTTGTATAAGTAAATAAAAGTCAAAAATGACAAACACGAAATCATCATCGGGCAGTAGGATTTGAATGAATAACAAAGTGCATATTATAGAAATCATCATCTAAGGTATATTGAAGAGTAATCCAAACATGGTCTTATTCAGGATAAAAGTGTGGTATTAGGCATATTACAATATTAATCAAAACATGGTATTATTTTTAAAAAGTTAATTATAAATTTATAATTATAATATTTTAAAAAAAAATATAACAGGCCCAGGCCGCCTAACAGGCTTAACAGGCTTATTAAAGAGCCTGGGCCTGACCTTTTAAGAGAAACAGGCCTTTAAAAAGGCCTGAGCCTGTTTTAATTTGAAAATAGGCCAGGTCAGGCCACAGGCCCCTGACAGGCCGCTTAGCCTATTTCCACCCCTAATGCGAAGGAGAAGAAAACGTTCATTTGGCTTAGAATTGGAGATGTGTCGCTTTCTTGTCCTGCCAAAAGGAAAGAAAAACTGAAAAACAACTTCCTACAACATATCGTCGCAATGCACATGCACTTTCTTGGTTTGAGAGACGACGCGTGGACTCCCCCTCCTCTAACTCTTGCTAGGTTCTGATTATTTCCAAATAAAATAAAATCCTTCAGTAAGAGTGAGCCTTACGTTTTCATAACTTTTTAATATTTATATCTAAACTACTTCTTAATAGGCCAGCATTCGAACCTGGATCCTCTGGGCCACTCTCTAGTATTCAAACTCAAGCGATGAGGACCACAATTGCCGGCTATTTCCAATTATTTTCTGGTCACCTCATCAGAGGATGGAGTTTTAGTGGCAAGCAGTGGATGAAGTTTTATAGTTATTTCACAGTAAAAACTTAATGTCAAAGAAGTCTTCAAAATCTTTAAAATAATCAGGCCAAATCCTGATATAGGATATACAGATTTAAGAGTGTTTTTGTCTCACTCTCCCTAATTTCAAATGTAAACTCACTTTTCCACCCAACAACAAATGAACAACTCAACATTGTAAGTTCAAAAGACATTCAAGACACAGAATATAATGGTGGTGGCTCATGGGGATTTTAATTTAACTGACACAAATCATGTTCAGGGCCAACCAAAGACAGCTGTTTGCCCATGTCATGGGCCATCTCACGTTTGCCAAATCTGAAATTACTTCTCTCCTTCTGCATACTGGTTTGTCAGTTGACAGTAGCCATTTATACGGTCATGCCACAGTTCTGGTCTGGTTTCACTGTATCTGGTTAGTGCCTATCCCTTCTATGTCCAACTTCTGTCATGGTTTGGTTGGGATCTGGTCTTTAGTTGAAAATTTCACAGATTTTTTTGTGAGCTCAAATTTCAAAAGCTGATGTATAGTCCCTATTCTTACCATAAGAAGAAATAGGACAGTACCCATGGGAACCTAAAACTTTTCGGGTCCATGCATTGAAAATCACAAGCATCTTCGCACGATAATCAAGAGATTTCGATCAACATGTCTCTGATCCCAAAATCTCACTTGGATTACATCCCCGACATCATCCATTACGTCTTGTTGCTGCGAACCGAACCAGGACCATGTGCTTACCCATCCTTGCTTTTTATGAATCAAAGAACAACGTGAACTCTTGGGTCATTCTTTATTTTAGGACAGTATCACCTAAGGCTACATAGCCTGTGCCCCACAGGACATAGCAACTCAGCCTCCATTAATACCCCTAAATCTAAATTGCAAGTTCAAGCCTCATTTGCATTAGAACTTTGCTTGCCATGGCGCCCAAGCTTGAGCTCCACTTTGTTTTGATACCTTTAATGGCCCCAGGTCATCTTCTTCCCATGGTGGACATGGCTAGATTGTTGGCTCGGCGACACGTAAAGGTGACCATAGTGACCACACCCCTAAATGCTGCCAGAGTCAGAGCCAACATCGACAGAGATATTCAACTGGGCTCACCAATCCAACTTCAACTTATCCGATTCCCAAATGCTGGGTCTGGAATACCTGAGGGCCATGAGAGCGTAGATACTCTACCTTCCATGGATCTTCAGGAGAACTTCTTCAAGGCCTTGTGCTTGTTGCAGAACCCACTTGAAGAACTCTTTGAAAAGCTTAATCCCACTCCGGACTGCATAATATCTGACAGACACATTCTACCTGCTGCTGATATTGCCAGAAAGTTCCAAGTTCCAAGAATAATATTTGATGGAGCTAATTGTTTCTTCTTGTTATGCAATCATTGTCTGCATGATTCTAAGGTACATGAGAATGTGTCGGACTCAGAACCCTTCATTATTCCTGGATTGCCAGATAGGGTTGAATTCAAAAAATACCAGCTTCCCGGGGCGTTCAATCCTAATGCCACAAACCAAGGCCTGAACGTCGCTCGTGAGATGGTAAGAGAATCTGAAGGAGAGGCACTTGGAGTGGTAGTGAATACCTTCCAAGAGTTAGAAGCAGAGTATGTGGAAAAGTATAAGAAGGTCTCCGGGAAAAAGGTTTGGTGTATTGGCCCCGTCTCACTGTCCAACGAAAACAAATTGGACAAGGCTCAAAGATGCAAGAGAAACGACTCAAACGACGAAGAAGAAGACCTTTATTACATGAAGTGGCTTGATTCATGGCCGGCAAGATCTGTCATTTATGTCTGCCTTGGAAGCTTAAATCGAGTAACACCGGAACAATTGATGGAGCTCGGTTTGGGACTGGAAGCTACAAAAAGGCCATTCATTTGGGTGATAAGAGGTGCATACAAAAGAGAAGAAACAGAGAAGTTACTGTTAGAAGATGGATTAGAAGAGAGAGTGAAAGGAAGAGGAGTATTAATAAGGGGTTGGGCACCACAAGTGTTAATATTGTCACACACAGCAATAGGAGCTTTCATAACACATTGTGGTTGGAATTCGACGCTGGAAGGAATATCCAGCGGGGTGCCATTAATAACGTTTCCTTTGTTTGCTGAGCAGTTCTACAATGAGAAGGTCATTGTGCAAGTGGTGCAGACAGGCGTGACGGTGGGACGTGAACGTGTTGTGCATCTTGGGGAGGAAGAGAAGTTCGATGCAATTCAAGTGAATGGGGAAAAAGTGAAGGAAGCTGTGGAGAAAGTAATGGGTGAAGATGAAGAAGGCAAAAAAATAAGAGAAAGAGCGAGACAGTATGCGGAAAAGGCAAAGAAGGCCGTCGAGAAAGGTGGGTCGTCTTATCTTGACATGTCACTGCTAATTGAAGACATAACACAACATGTCAAAGGGTTGAAGATGAAGGAAGAAGAAGCAGAGCCACAATACGGTCCAAATTAATGCGTGAAGCGTTTGCACTAACTCGGCTTTTGGGGTCTGAAATGTGTTGTATTGTTGAGGTTTGGAAGCCTGTTTACTGTGTGTTTATCTGTCCAAGCTTCACAATTACGTTAAGTTGGCAGGCTATTTTTCAGAAGCATTGTTTCAGTGAACCTTTGAATCAATTTCTAAATGTTAATCCCAACGCTTTTATGACCCTGCACAGTGGATGTTTTCAGTAATCATAATATGCATGTACTGATGTACGCACGTGCAAAACTTTGGATAGTAAATAGACATTTTGGAAAAAACTTTGTTTGGTAATTGAATCACGTTCACTGCTTGTGTACAAGAGTACTACATTTCATGGAAAAAAAGAGTACAAAAGTACTTTTCCAATCCTTAATAAATGACCTAATTATTGAGTCGATTTTGATCCTAAATATAAGATTTGTTTATCAATTTTTTTAAAAATTATTTTTATAGATACTCCCTTAACCATAATCAAGTAAAAGAAGGAAGGAGGATATTAAAAAAAATGATTATGGTATTTTAGAAAGAACATGTCATTTCTTATAATTAACTAACTTATTCTTAATCTAATCAAATTATTTAAATAGGTTTTATATTAAGAATCGAAAGAGTACTATATAATCAGAAATGACGTGTTCAAATGTTGACATTAAATAATGTGTTATATTCCAACGTAATGGATCAGCACAACTATTTTAATTTGTTACACGAACAAAGATATACGGGTTACGGTGCAATTATCGACCTGTTTGGAACAGCTTCTAAATAACTTTTTAATTGTGATTTACAGAATACAAAATAAATATGTGAGAAATTTTTTTTCTCAACTTATATAAAACGTGTTTATAAGTGATTTTCATTGCTATTCCAAACAGACCCTATATGTAGTGCTATTATCTCTTTGAGTCATGACGTGAGAGAGATTGATATCGGGGGAACTAAGACGGATTTTGCTCATATCCGATTTAGTGTATGCTCAAACTTATTAAAATCGAAAATAAAATAAATATGCTTAATTGTGTCATCTTTAAAAAAGTACTACATCTCTAATACTACTTTGTAGTCTAATTCAGTATAATTAGGACTGAAGTTAATATATTTATGTGATTGTTTTAAGGTAATTTAAATTTTAATATATTTGGTATCAATTGAATTCATCAAAGAGAATTCTTTGATAATTTTACCATATAGCCTTTTAAAATCTAAGGAGCATGTAATTGCGCAGATTTATTTTTCTTTACCATGGATGCCACTAGATAGCGGAGTGTATAGTTAGGCAAGAAAAACATTGTGGGCTAATTGCTCTTTATCTGAAGTTATTAATTTTGTCTCATTCATTCTACTTAGTCTTACGAAATTAATGAAAGAAATAATCACAAAATTAAGAAAAAGAGATAATCTTTTAAAAGCAAAGAAGAACAATTTTCCTTTGTACATATTTTCTGGTTTTTTCTTTTACATGTGATCTGTTACTGTTTGCCCTCATCTTTTAAGCTGACAATACTGGGATTAAATTAAGAGAGAATACCCAAAAAAATATATTTAAATTTTAAAATTTCAAATCAGTCTTATTTATTATACTTTAATAATAATTGATAACATTTAAAAAGTAAATCATAATATATTTTTGTAGTCATTCCTGATTTGATATTTTAAAATTTTAAATGTATTCTTTTTTAGATTTTTTTTCTTAAATCAACCCCAAATATAATGACGATCTAAATTCATGATGAAAATTAGTTTTTTTTTTTTTTAGTGGTCGGGGTAGTAAAAAAGTTGAGTGGTGGCTACTCACAGTAAGGAATCGCTCGGATAATCAAGAATGAAAATTTCTTGTAATCAGTCATCATTGCTAATTATTGGAACAATTTTTTGCAGAGCTTACCTGATTTTCTAACATTTAACTGAAACGCAACACATATTTCATAATGAAATATTCAAAGCAGGAACTAGGCCCTATTAGATCGATATTACCACTAGTGAAGAAATAAATAAAGCTAAATGTAATCTCATAATCGGTACTAAAATTTTTTCAATAAGTTTATGATACGTAGGAATTATTTACTGCTAGCAGCGTCGGTCCATACTCTAAGTTTAACTTTAAAAAGCAGAATCTGAACGGCTGGATTTTAATCTAAGCGTTTTCATTTTTTAATCAAGAATAATATCCTTAGAGCTGTCAATAAAGGCTAGTTTGATCCTAAAAAGTTAGCTCTTAAAGAGTCAGGGCCTAAAAAGATAGGTTCTTTAAAGCCCACATATCTTAAAATTATTATGTTACTAAAACTCGGTTATTGGACGTATGGGCTTAAAGCCTAAAAGCATCGGTCCTTTTATGTTATTTGTTTAAAATTTAAATTTTTTTCAATTATTTTGGAATAAAAAATAAAACAATAAAACATCTAAATTTTTTTATTCAACTTATAATATTAGTAAAACAAACTAACGATGTACAGAGAAAAACATCAAACACTAATTAATTATTATCCAAACTTAAAAAAAACAAATAAAATAGGAAAAGTAGAAAGATGAAAACTAAGCAATTAAAGATTAAAAACATCAATATGATTACCATCTTCATCTTCATTACCATCATCAAGATCAAGAATATTTGATTGTTTTTCACTAGAGATGAGCTCTTCTTCAGTAATAAAAATACCAAGATTTTTGTTTTCATCACTTTTGTTCAAAATAAAACTATGTAGTATTTACGAGTGCCAATAAGAGCCTAAACATTTATTAAAATAAAAGAATTTCTATACTTTGTTAAAACATATGAACTAATAGCAAATGAAGATTCAATAGTTACTGTAGTCATTAAAATGCGAAGAATATCAACCGTTATCCTTGAAAGAATTAAAAATTGATTTTAATTATCCTTCCATCAGTACAAGACATCTAATTGTTTTTAATTATATGAATTAAGTATTAGTTCTCCTAAATAATTTTATAATTCAAACTTATCCATAAAAACCTAATCTATAATTGTATAAATATATTGGTAATTAAAAAAATAAGTAGGTTTAAAAGGGTTATTTTTTTTATTTTTGAACCCTAAAAAACTAACTCTTTTAAGCTTAATTTTATTTTTAATATCCTAAAATACAAATCCGACATTTTATTTAAAAAGGTCTAGACGGGTTGTCCCGACGGGCACAGCCTGTTTGACGGCTATAAATATCCTCGTCTCAGAACACGGAAGGGCTGTCTTATCTACCGCACAATCCCCACCATCACCGGCAAACAAGCTTGATTCCCATGGCCATGGCTTCCGTCACTGACCACCTTCACTTCCTTCTCGTGCCTTTAATGTCCCAAAGCCATCTCATCCCCTTCACGCAGATGGCTAAACTATTTTCAAGCCATAGGCGTCACAGTTACTATCGTCCTCACACCCCTCAATGCAGCTAGGTTCAACAACTTCATTCTCCAAGCACAAGCCTCCAACCTCAAAATCCATGTTCTCTCCTTTCCTTTTCCTTCCTCTGAAGTGGGATTGCCCCAGGCGTGCGAGAACATCGATTGCCTTCCTTCTCGTGAATCCATTCCTCTGTTTTTCACGGCCAGTAATTTGCTTAAACAACCGCTTGAAAACTGGTTGTCGGAGCTGAAAACATTACCAAGCTGTATTATTTCTGATCTGTGCCTTTCTTGGACCTCAGACGTCGCAGCAAGATTCAACATTCCCAGAGTTGTCTTCCATGGAATCTCCTGCTTCAGTCTCCTGTGCTCTCATTGTGTTAATCAGTCCAAGGTTCACGAGAGGGTGGTTTCTATGTCAGAGTCATTTGTGGTGCCTGACTTGCCGCACAGAATAGAACTCACCAAAGCCCAATTACCCGAAGCAAGGATCCAAGACTTGGGAGCTCTGGAACAATTCAAAAGGGCTGAACTTTCAGCACAGGGGATCCTGGTGAATACTTTCCAAGAGTTGGAGGAACTGTACGTGAAAGGGTATGAGAAAGTGGTGAAAAAGATTTGGTGTATAGGCCCACTTTCATTATGTGACAGATTAATCTCCAACAAGTTTGGCATAAGTGACCATCAAAACTCCATGGAAGATGACTCTGCGTGGTTGAAATTTCTTAATTCCCATGAGCCGTGCTCCGTCATTTACGTTTGTTTTGGCAGCCTGTGTCGGCTTGAGACTCCACAGCTAAAGGAGCTAGCTTTGGGACTGGAAGCGTCGAATAAGCCATTCGTGTGGGTGATAAAGAAAAGTGATTTTTCAGCAGAATTAGAGAAATGGGTAGAAGAAGAAGGATACGAAGAGAGGATGAAAGGAAGAGGAGTCGTAATCAAAGGATGGGCTCCACAAGTAGAGATACTATCGCACCATGCAGTGGGTGGGTTTATAACACATTGTGGATGGAATTCGACTCTGGAAGGAGCGAGTGCAGGTGTTCCAATGATAACATGGCCAATGTTCGCCGAGCAGTTCTATAATGAGAAGCTGATAGTGGAAGTAGTGAAGATGGGAGTCAAGATCGGAGCTAATGGAGGACTGGTGAGGAAGGAGGAAGTGAAGAAGGCCATTGAGAAGGCTATGGAGGAAGGAGAAGAAGGAAAAGAGCGAAGGAAGAGAGCGAGGAGAGTTGCAGAAATGGCTCGTAAGGCGGCGGAAAGAGGAGGCTCTTCTCACTTGGACTGCAAATCCTTCATCCAGCACATAATGGACCAAGTTGATCCATAGCTATGCAAGATTCGGCCCATGGTGAAGAAGGGCCACTCTTTCCTCCTATATATATATATATATATATGTATATATATTCCTCGATCGTCACTTCCAAATATTTTGTTGGAATCAAGAGAATGTATTGAAATTATATGAATAAGGGGAAAAAAAATTGCTAATGTACTCTTATTAAATGTGTTGATCATCTTTAAAAACACGCATTTCTCTCTTATTTTACTTATAAAAAATTGTAAAAGATTAAAATTGGAAAAAATAATCATACAAAATTTATTTTGTAATATAAATTATATTATAAAATGAGTTTTATATTAAAAACAGAAAATAAATATATTATAGTTTGTCTTGTAATGCAAATTGACTTACGTTGATCATCAATTTTTTTTAAAAAAATATAAATTATAGATGTTACACATGCTCGTTAAGTTGAATCGGGCATTTGGACGTGCGTGTAGATAATAATTAGTGTTTTTTTTGGTCACCTAGATTAAACAATCAGTTGCTTATTATTATTTTTTTAGTAAGTTGCTACTATTACTGCCATTTTAGAAACCGTAGTAAGAAAAAAAAATGGACAGATTAAAATCTATTGATTAATTTTTTTGGACATCCAAATATATTCAGTAGAGTAGGCAGTGGAGCATTTTATTTTTTTCTTTTGCCAGACCGTAGATAGTAAAAGCATTAATTATGATTTTCATAGTCAACGGTAAGAAGTTTGACTAATGTATAATAATACTGCCTCCGGTCCTTAATCTAAGATCTTATTTGACTTTTATTTTGGTCCTAATATAAAACATCAATCCACTTTGTCTCTCATATTTATAGATTTTTTTTTCAAGATAATCCTTCTAACAATGGTAGTTCTAGCTAATATATTTGATTAGGAATGATATTTTAGGAAAGACAACATCTATTTATTAAATAACTAATTTAATTTCTTTTCTTAATTTTATCAAATTAGTCAACTAGTTCTTATAATTAGAACCAGAGGCAGTAATAATTATTAACAAGGGATGAAAGAGACATTAATGGCTGAGGATTCTGTTTCATGTATTTGAAATAACACCTTGCTATAAATGAATGCTTCCCTGGCCTCACATAACAAAACAATTAAAAACCAAGGTTCAAGTTTTATGCTGTACTTGGCAATCAGATGAAGACTAGCGCAATGCTTAGACGCAGCCTCTTGCTTGTGCGCGCCTTGATAAAAGCAGCATTATGCGATGATGTCGTCGTGGACATCCAAGGTAACGCTGTTCTGTCAGGTGCCGATTACTACATGATGCTACCATTTGAGGGCCCCGATGGAGGCGAATTTGCACCTGGCAAGACCTCCAACATGACCTGTCCACTTAGCGTCGTCCTTGATCCGGCCAGCGGCGGCGAACTGGTGAGAATTTCTTCAACCTCTGCAAAAAAGGGGATCGTCTCTACCGAAGAAGCCGTGGATGTTTCATTTGCAAACAAGATAAAGTGTGCCGAATCATCCAAGTGGATGATTGTTAGAGAGAGGGGTGAAGATTTTTGGTCTGTGGTAATCAGTAGTGCTCGGGATCATCCAGGCAGCGAGATTTTGAGTGGTTCTTTCAAGATCCAAAAGTCTAATGTAATGGGTGGCTATAAATTCATATTCTGCCCAAATGCTACTGTTTGTGGTAACATTCAGGGGTCAGACCGCCTAGTTTTGATATTTGGTTCCGATTCTGCCTTCAATTTTGTACTCCGCCCCAAGGCTTCCCTTGGATCTTGATTTTATTAGATCCATGTGTTGAGTAGTGTGCGTGTGTGTGAACAATTATTCTCACAAAACTTCCAGTCCAATCTGTACTGATATAAGCTGCCAGAGATGCGCCAGTAGTCCATTTTCAAATTAAAATATGTAAGTCAGATCACTGTTCTACTTTCTCTTTTTACATAAGAAAAAGTAACAAGCTCTATGCTTTTATAGGGTATAAATGCCCCTGGATGAAATGTATTTTGTTAGAAGTCTCTTTCTTTGAATATTCCTACATAAAAAACGACAAAAGGTTCCATCGAAAAAGAAAAAGGTTCCTCAATTGGGTTTATACTAGAGCCCAACTCAGGATTCAGCTGGTAGGTGAAAAAGATAAGCAAACAAAATCCGACGAAAAAGAAAGGTCCAACAGAGGTGAGCCCATAATATGAGGCTTGCAGCTGAAACCTAAAGAGAGGCTTCGAAAACCAAGCAACTTAACTGCAGCAACTTGCATTTCATATTCCCCTTCTTTTACGGCTTCTTGTTCTAATTATAAGATTTTGTTTCTAATACTGGAGGTAGTATTTTCATTACGGCACGAGCGGGCTTCTAATTCTCTCTCCATTTATTCTCTAGGGCTGGTAGTTTAAGTTCTAGGTCACACGCTAGTCACATGCGCATACTACATGTCAGATCCTATTCTCACTTTCTTCGGCCCAAATCCATTACAAACCCTAACCATCACTTAACTCCATAAATGCATTCCAGGCTTCCAGCTGATTAGCACATTTGGATAGGATTAGCCCTCCTTTGCTGCCTTAATATCCGGTGCTCCTCCATTGCTTGCAGGGAAGGCGTGGATGGGAAATTGCTCATCAATGTTATGTTTTGGAATATGATTGGAGAATAAAAATTTAATAATTTTAAGATCCTAACAAAACATACCCGTTTGGTTTTAAATATAAGTCATTTATAACACTAAAAACAATTAAATGTATTGTATTTAACATAAAATTTAAGTGATTTTTAATATTATCCTTATTAAATTTCAATATCATATGTTTTTTGCCAACAAATTTCATCATCGTATTAATTTTTGCTCTCTTTCACTACTCTTATGTAATACAAGAATATATAAAATAAAATACCATTTAGTATTTTTTGCAACTAGTAAATTTCTTATAAAAATGACTAAAAATACCTTCGAGAAAGTGTATAGTATGATATTGGTTGTTTTCTCTCGTCTTCATTATAAGACATCTTTTTAAAAATATTTGCAGCCCTTTCTGTAAGGCATCATTGTCTCTTAATGCTATTGTTAAATATGAGTATGCATGCAAAAAAAAAAATATTTAAAATTCTTTACAACTAGTAAATTTCTTATACGACTGACTAAAAATATTTTCTGAAAAATACCTTGTAATTAGTACAGGAGGCAGTAGATAGTTTTTAGTCATTCTCAAGACATTTGCTAATATTTTCTAGAAAATGTCTTGTAGTAGCAATTGCTCGATGTTATAGTAGGACATTTACTATTCTTCTCATATTTGTTATGTAGTTTTTAGTCATTTTCGAAACATTTGCTAGTGAGAGAGTAAAAATTAACAAAATATTTAAATTTATTATAATTAATAAGGTAATGTTAAAAAGTACTTGATTTAATATCTTTACTTAAATAATTTATATTTAAAACTAGAGGGAGTATGTTTAAAACTTAATATAATATTCACTGCACATGGATAGTATGTGTTGAATTCCTTGCATAAAGCGCTGTGACTTGTGACCGTCCTGGTCAATGAAAACGCGTTTGACTGACTGTAAGATTTAATTAACCAGATTGTATGGCTTTAGACATTTAGTTAAAAGTGATAAGTATATGTAAAATATATTTTATTTTTTAATATAGTCTTATTTGTAAGAGGGTAAGTGAAATAGCAATATAATAAGAAAAAATATGAAACAGAATGTTAAAACAATAAAACAACTAACTAAAAGAAAACTTGATGAAAATACATCTAATATTCAAATAACCTCAAACTAAATTTTATTAAAAGGACAAGACTAATTTAAAATTTTTGATTTTATAAATAGGAGTGGAGCATGTTTAAAAAAGCCTTATCTGGTACAATGTCTATATAATTTTTTTTAAAAAAAAAAGTTACTCGTGCATGTCTGGCAACTTATTATATCGGTACAACTCTTACTTTTTTTTTTTTATTTGATTGGGGGTTTTTCTTTTCGAGGTTTAGAGCGTAAAGAGTTTTCGCCTCTACCAATAAATATGTTTCTCGATATTTGAATTTGTGTTTTTCTCATTACAGGGGTGAAACCGATTACTATTTCAACTAATGATTTGTTATTGCCTTCCACCTTTTGATAAAAATGATTCTTTATACAAACTTTAGCCAAGTTAGTGAAATTCCTGTTTAGTTTTTGTGCAACCCTTGTTCAATGATTGTGCAATTCCCGTTCAGTTTATAAAAACTTACCTTAACTCCCTAAATGCAGTCCAGCTGATTAGCACATTTGGACTTGCTCTTATCTGAATTTGAGATTGACAGGGGAGTTACAATCAAAATAATCGATTCTAACCAAAACTAATAAATACCCCAAACGGACAAGAAAACGCCAACATTAACAATACATTTAAGTGTGAAATTTAATTTAATAATTCATTTTAAATAACCATTAATTTTCAGAATATCCAACATGAATAATCTTTGAAAGTAATAGCTTCACAATAACCATAAACTAAGTAATTAAGACACCCTTTGAATTACTGTGTCAACGTATTGTGTCTAAAAGGTTAAATAAGATCCCAAATATGATTCTATTTTGAGTGGGTTTCACTTATTATTATGCATGACTACTATTGTATTTTATTAATCCTAATTTGCCTGGTAAATGAGATGATGACGAGAGAGTATAAATTCTTTTGGTCAAAGGCTCAGCCAAGAAAATAAAATACACAATTGTTAATGTCGTTATCAATTAAGGTAAGCTTTCCCCATAGCACAAGCCACAAGGGTGTATTAACTATTGAGGAATTAAATATCTATTTATAAAAATTTGTTAGAACTGGTCATTGAAATTCGAATGCCTGGTTTACTGGATGGGGCTGCTGGAGTTCACAATGAGTCTGGCTCAGCTACAACTTAATTAACCACATATTGTTATGTAGTTGTTTAGACTACAGCTGTCTTAAACTGTACACGTGTCATGAACTAGCAGTCTCTTGTTGAGACTGTGATATATTCATTGTTATGAATCATATTGATTCTCTGGGTCGATTCAATTCTATTTTCTCTCTAGTGTTTCGCTGAGTTGCATCATCCACGTGCCTGCACTATATAATTATAAAAAGGGAGAGTTTATAATCCGCTGCCAATTATGAATCTGTATGGATCAGTTTAATGCTAACAACGTATATTTTCCCCCTCCCATGCAGTGCTGCAGCCGCAAAAGGAAGGCTTAGTTAGACCAGGTCCTTGTAGTCCAATTCCCTTGAGCTCCTCAGATGCACACTATATAAATCGCACCTACCTCGTTCCGTCTCTCCACACCTCATTAGCATTACTATGGGATTCTTCAACGGAGTTGTCCTCCTGTCACTACTTGTCTTTTGTCTTTTCACGCCACCTTCCCTCGCCGGCGACCATCTGTTATGTGTCTCTAGTACCCAAGGAAGTTCATGGAAAAATGTGTCTCTAACTTCATACCACAACACGATTCCTGTTTTGACTGTTCGCTTAAACTGATGTGGGAATTTCAGCTGCGTACAATAAGTCGTGAATGCTGTTTCAGAATCGAGGCCTGATAAAACCCCCATCATTATTCACTCTAGCACGTACAGGTCTCTATCTTTTAGTAGTTTTGATCACTAATTGTACTCTTTCATTGTTAATTTAAAGAAATGATAGGAAGAAGGCATTGGTGGAGGCCAGCAAGACAGATTTGAAACTGCAAGGTCAGGGATACCTTAACACGATCATAGAATGGAACGATACTGCCAATTCTATATATAGGAGGGATCTTGCCTAGCTAGTTGCTTCATAGTCCTTAGGCTGCCTCCCATATGACACTCTCGACAAGTAGTTGGCTCTAGCTCCAAAACAATGATATTCACTAAAGAAGATAACAATGACGGACTTGTGTTTTGTACAATCAGATGTCGTAGCTCCTGAAAGATGAAATGATTGGTCTGATCGTGCAAAACGCAAGTTCATGATTATTATTATCTTTTTTTCATGTTTTTTCTCTTTGTTTCTTATGTGTGTTGTCGTCTAACACAATGATTATATGTGTGGTTACAATTTTTCTTAACAAGACTGTCTTCTTTGATAAACACCATTGTTTTGAAGCCGGTCCATGTAATAATATTTTATACTTGGATTGAAATTGTTTAGTAAAAGTATTAATATATATATATATATATATATATATATATATATAAGCAGAGTGTCCATGCAATAATTTATTACTTACGTTGAAATTGCACATTAAGAGTATTAATATATACAAGCGGAGCCGGGGAGCGTATATTTAATTATGAGGAATGGAAGAACTCTTTTTTGCTTTGTATGTTTTTTGGGTATTAGAAGAACATCTATTTTGGATGATTGAGGAGCCAATCATTTCCATCAATATAAGAAACATTCATGAAACGGGCTGCTTCATGGTCTTTAAGTTGCTTTGCATATGAGACTCTAGACGAGTAGTTGGCTCCACCACCAAGACAGCGATATTCCCCAAAAAAGACAGTCCTGTAAAACACACACACACACACACAACCATCACTTGTGTTGGACTACAACATAAAATTGAAGAGACAGAGGAACATGAGAAAAAGATAATGATCACAAACATGTCTCTCGTAGAATTAGACCAATCATTCCATCCTTCAGGAGCTACAACATCAGACATATATGTTGTTGAGAAGACTACGGTGGCATAAGCTCCCCATGCTCTTCCAAGCCATACTTTTCCTCTGCCATCAATCTTACAATTCACAAATGAAAACCCAGTTTCTTCATTCTCTGATTGTCTTGCTTGAGCTGTGATGGACCCGGTAATCATAGCCCCTTCGTCTGTTGATATACAGTTTAGGGTACAATCCTGGTGCCACAAGTCATGAAGTAATTTTGCTTGAAAACCATATATATAAAGTGCTGATAATGTAATTCCATTCCAAGTCAAAAATTATTGCACATACCAGCCAATCCTCCTCATTAATTTTGTGTGGCTAGGTTGCCTTATAATTATAAGATTAGGTAATTGCACGAATAATGCACTATCAATGCATGAATAATGCGCATGGTTGCCATTCTATAACCATATACGATTATGAAAAATTATTTATATAAATATCATGTGATCAATAATCAAGATGCCAAGTTTCTTCTAAGTAAAGGCAAAATGTTTAGAATGTACCTCATAAAGAGATCTAGCATTCCCAAATATGAAATCAATGGATCCTTGGATGAAACATTCTTTGAAGTAATGTCTTCCAGTATCATCATTGAGGGTGTCCTGAGCACCATACATTCCACATTCGTAGAATGCTGCTTCGTCGCCACTCACCCTTAGCGCTACTGCTTGTGCTCCTGTCATACCTGGTGATGGTGCTGGAGCCGTATTCTCAAAATTTGAACATATCACCACATTAATTTAACCCAGAAAATTGAAGGTGAAAAATAAAACTACATCAAAAAAATTATTTAATCCCTTACTTTAAAACTAATGTTGTAAGCAAGAAACTTAGAAGCAAAGACTCCAACTGTGTAACTATTAAAGGTCCCTCCTGTGGAATTGGCGGTATCATTCCATGCTATGATTGTGTTCAGATATCCTTTACCTTGCAATATCAAATTTGTTTTGCTTGCCTCCACCGTTACCTTCTCTCTATCATTTTCCAAAACTAATCGCATAGTTATTTGAAAAAAGTAACCAATTAACAATGAAAAAATTAATTCAAAACTCAAATATAGACAATCACCTGTATATGCCAGAATCAACGATGATGAGAGTTCTATCAGGCTTCGCTTCAGGAACAGCATTTACAGCTTTTTGTATGCTGCTAAAATTTCCACAACCTTTCAAGCTAACGGTTAAAACAAGACTCACATTATAGTCCACAACAAGATCAGAATCCCAGATGCCCTTGTCACATTTCTCCTTGTGCTTCACTCGGTAGGGAAGCCTCCTCGCAAGTCTTCTTATTAGAGACACAAAGTCTTCAGCGCCACTCAGCTTTATAATCCTACTTAAGATCACATGTTGCTTGAAATTACTCTGAGGAGCAATGGAAGAGATGGCGGTGAGGGAAGATGGCGTGTAATGACAGACAATTATGATGGAAAGGGAAAAGGTGAAAAGGCAAAGTAGCCAGAAGAGGATCTTGTTAAATCTCATAGCTAAAATCCTCACGAGATAGCTAGCGACGATGTGTTATTTAGAGTTAGAAAATGGGTTTGGCGTGGAGGGAGAGAGTGAGGTATGAGTGGTTATATTATGTGCATGTGAGGAGGGTCTGACTGAAGCAAAGCTGAAGTGGGAGCTAAGAAAGGTATGGACCTATATATCTTCTATGGTATCTGCATTTATAAGCATTAGGTGAGAACACCAAAAAGTGAATTTAATGGACAATGATGGGGGAAGAGAGAGAGAGAGATGTGCAGAAATGGATGAAATTTTGGAAGGTGGACAAGCCAAGATAAAGAAATTTTATTGGAGAGAGAATATAGGGGGATTATATGAAGGTTCTCTGGGGTTCAATATTATTGATTATTGAATGGTTACTTTGAAAGCAAAGATAATGGTCGACGGCAGCAATCGGGAACAACAGGAAGATTGATTGTGTCTAAGGAATCGAAGAGGCTATCTTCTTGGCTTGAAATGCACTGTGTTAAATCAGTTAAACAATTGCCGATGCTTTGATTTGAATTCACAGCACAGCTCTGCCTGAAGAATTATTCAAACTGATTCCAAATGGGTGGATTACATTTCTCCGCTATTATTTCTTCTAAACGCTTTTGGTCTCAGTATTCATTTTTGGCGACCCAGACCCTGAACATTCTCAAGCTGCCGTTGCGCACCAATACGAGCAGAAATTGAACATTGTTACTCTCCGAAGGCGATGATGAGGACAATAAAAGCTGATAGACTGATAGGTCCACGTCTAGACCTTCCACGATTTTATATCCTAAATTTTATTTTTATTTTTTTAATAAATTCACTTTTGTCTTTTAATTTAAAAAATGATTATATGTAAAAACGTTGGTCCAATCCCTGCACAGCTTCTGCGCAATCTTTATCAAATATTCATCTATGTTTGGAATAATAACCGTACACAAATTTACAATATAAGGTACCTCTTATATTTAGAATTAGTAGGGCTGTTTACGGGACGGACCGGGACCGGGACAGGGACAGGCCCGTCCCAGTTCCGTCCCGATAAACAGTAACGGGACAGAAAATCTGTCCCGTGTCCCGGAGTTGTCCTGGTCCCGGTCGGGACGGGACCAAGACGTCCCGAAATTTTTTTAAAATTTTTTTTAAAAAAATCTGATTTTTTTAATTATATTTTTTTGGGCTTAAACCTTATAAAAACATCTTTTTATTTTCTTTTTTATTTGGTTGGGCACTCTTAAACAAAAGCTCAAAATATTACATATAATAGTCATTAAAAACTCTAAACAAAAACTTTTAACACAATAAAAACTTGCTAAAAATTCTAATCATCAATAATCTCAAATCATTAACAACTATAAAAACTCTAAATAAATATATCCATAGTTCCATACAATAGTCTCAAATCTTAAAAAAATATGAAAAAAATAATATTATATAAATAAGATAAACAATTAAAAAAAAATTTTTTAAAAAGGAACCAGGACGGGACGATCCCGTCCCGTGTCCCGTCCCGGTTTGTCTCGTCCCAAAAAATTTCAGGACGGATCCGTCTCATCCCAATAAGACCAGGACCGGAACGGGCCAACCGGGACGGGCCGGTCTTGAACAACTCTAAGAATTAGTACAAACAAGTAATTTAATTAGGACCAACATACACGCCAGCCGCTTGCTTGTGCGATTATGATAAGGTAGCTTTCTGGACTTTAATCTATGTAATTTTTGTACAATTTTTTATACGCTCTCCGGGCAGCAGTTATGTGTACATTTTAGTCATGTTTGACTATGGTTTTTTGTTTTTAAAAAAAGATTTTGAAGAGTATTTGGATGATCCAAAAATACTTTTTAAAAATATTTTTTTATCAATAGACAAACTCCTTCACGTATTTATTTCATATTTTATAAAAGTACTCTTAAAATTATAATTTTGATTCTACCCAAACACCCTTGAATAGAAAGGCAGATATATGATTATTGAGTTGATTTCATTTAGGCTTAAATATATTTCATTTAACATGCCAAACAAGTATTTATTTAAACAATAAATTGTTTAGAAGTTTTAATAAAATTTGAAGAGCCCATAAAAAATTTTCACCACCCTCATCAAAAGCCGAGAGTCCGGTAGTGATTTCATCAGTTGAGGGATACAATAGAGGTGCAAATATTTGTCAGAAAAATAAATTTAAACCATCGAATCTTCAGTTTTTCAGGTTCCAACGGGAAAAAAAATGATCGCCTTTCATTTTGCCATATCATTTTGACCACGACATCCATGAGGTCATGCCAAGGACATAGCGATGTGAAACGGCGAAACCCACCTACGTTCTATTTAACAGCACAACCATAACTTATTAATTTAATGAAATTAAAATAATAAATACTCAAACAAGGGAAAGGTACAGATTCAAAATTGGCTAAATGTTGAATAAAAGCAACAAACTCTCAGCTTTTATAATTAAAACTTTTTTTTTTCATGATGAGCTTTTGATATCTGGACCTGTGGTGAGCATTTTATGAAGCATGGATGTCCCTTGAAATATCACCATCTGCTGGTAGCTCTTTCTGTAGTTGCCAAGCTGCAGCACAATGAGTGACCCCAGTCAAATCCTTTCGGAAGGCTCAAGTAGGGGCAGTGCCAAAATGTTAGCCACAACCTTTCAAGGTAATAAAGGAAACAATATAAATACCTCATCTGGTGTCATCTTCGTGAACCCAAATTTCTCAATCCAAATGGACTCCGCAGTAGCGGTGGCTGGCAGCACAAGGTTTTTCACGTTTAAGGAAGCCAGCAATTTCTCAATGCAAGAGTATAGTATTTGGAAGTACCCCTGTCATGCCAAACCAAAATACATCTATTTAATCCACCACTACAACGTAAGCAATCCTCATACATATCCACATGAATAATCAATAATGAACCATTCTACAGAAACTTTCAACAGGAGGGAAGAATATGATGCAATAAGTCAAACAACTAGAAGTCCATCTACACCAAGACACAGTACGGATATCATGCTTTGGCTTCACTCGTAAATACCACTGCTAAGAGGTCATGGAATACCACGACTTACTAAGCGTGCACAGATCTTCCTCGTGTGGGTCACGATAAAATTAGGGCAAGGAAGATTTATAAAGACAGATATGGTTATGGCCGCCGAAAAAAAGAAGTAGAAGAAGACAGATATGATGAATGCAAGCATTGTTTCCAAGCCACAGTCCTGCACCTTTCCATGGTTAATACTACGAGTTGCAACTAGAGGAAGCTCTGCAAGATCACTGCCAAAAATTCGAAGCAAGGCAGCTGATACCACAGTTGAACTACAAGATCAAGAAAATAATTCGTGAACGGTAATATAAATATGCAAAAAAAAAAAAAAAAAGAGTCAAACGCAGAAGACCGCTACTTACTTGACCATTAATATTGCACAATGCATTGCCCCAAACTCTTGTCTCCGCACAGTCCTTCTGCACGTGGGAGGTGCATGTTAATCGAGACAAAGGAAAAGCAAACACATTTATCTTAAGGAATTCTTACCCGTATATCATGGCCGTAATAAGATTGCGTCCAGTAATTGAATCAACTATAGGATCAAAGCATTCCTGAAAACATGACATCGTTACCAACTCAAAATGGGTTCCACAAGGTAAAACACAAATGCTCTCCCAAAGAGAGATAATCATTGTGGTCCACTATCAACCCTGCGCCTAAACAAAAGCCATACCCTATCCACTATCCTGAGTTCACAGAGCATGTAGATAGACGCATGGCCATAAGCCTATGCAAAAGCTGACTCATGACATGATAGTTATATAATAATATTAATGCTATGCAGCAGATAAATTACTCTGTCATGGGGCCATTTATATTGAAGGGGAATATATGTTTACCACTTCAATCAGACTTTTATCTAAATATTTCAAATAAATTACAAATTATCCACGCTGCAATCAGATAGACACAAAATGAAGAATCAATTTAAGATGAAAATGTAACACCATTTATAACCAATAAAAGTAGGGAAATAAAGTATATTGCAGGTAAGAATCAAAGCAGATCTATAAAGGATGGCATAAAGGAATTATGATGTTAATCCCCTAAAGAGGGAAAACAAAAAGCATGAAGCAACTTATATTGAAGTATGAGAGAACATACATGAAAGATTGAGACAGCCTGTAAAAGAAATGGCCTAGTTTCAGGAGTAGCAATTTTGCCCTTAAGAAGCCTCCATTTCACGTCAATATCACTAAGGGATTCTAAACCTTTTTCCTCTTGCTTCTTTTTTATAACATCCAAGAGTGGTTCTGGAAGTTTCTCAGCCCCCCTAACCAGGAGGTTCTGAAAAGTAGAATGTATGGTTGAGCAATCATGGCAACAAAACCAATCCCCTTCTGGCAGCTCCTGTCATCAGACCTAGAAATATTATAACATGGCCAGTAGACACAAGATTGGAATCCAAACTATTGTATCCGCATATTAAGACATGGAAACACACAGCATACCTTCAAAAATGACATTTTATGATCCCTCAAGCAGCCAACATGAAATTCTTTGTCACACTGGAAAACATAGGGAAGAACAAGAACATGAACATCTCATGAGTTCACTAGAGACAGAAGGATTCCAATCAAATTTAATACTTGCATCAATAATCATGCCCTTTTATGAACTTGGGAACTTTAGCTATTCAATGTTGAAACTGTAAGCCTTCATGACAATGTACTAGCGTGCATACCTGATCACATATTATTATTGTTCGAGGACCAAATCCTGATTTGCTGAAGTCACAAGCCCTACATGAACAAATTTCTTTTCATAACATGTAGGTAACTAGAAAATTAATAATTATAAAAGATTGCGGAAATGATTAATTCAATAACGCAGTAGGAAGCAAGGTAAAAGTTGCCGATTCCAAACAGCAGAATAAAAATATACACCAAGTTCATGCATAGGCTTCTAATCTCCGTGAAGTACCTGCATAAAGCACATCCATTGAGCTCAGTATCAACATCTTCAACAATGCGCACGCATC